TGTCCTGTTGTGTATTTTTGACATAGAGACTGGAGATCCATTGGATTGAGAAGTCATGGGTTCTGATATGAGATTGATAAATTTATCATTGAAGTAATTAATTGTTGTCCTCCCAGAGGACTGTTGCCCCATTTCAACGAGAGTAAATTCTAAATTATGGCATTAACGCTACATTATTCTTATGTTTTCTTATGTTCTGAAGGTAAACATTGTTCCAAAACGCACAACAACTGGGCACCAATTTGCACAGATTAAATGGGGGGACCCAAAAAGGCCACAAGGGAGCTGTGCACTCCAGTCTTAGGAGTCAAATTCATTGCAGACCCTGGTGGATAGAAGTTCAGGGACTACTGATACAGGAGGGTTTGTTCGCCTGTCGACAGTACCAAATAAGGAATGTTCATTATTATTGTTTTTGGCAATGATGTCAGAGAAGAAAGACCACCTTGCATTTCTCAGTTCCAAATTATAAATGTGAATTATCTACAAACTCATTGACTGAGACCCAAGAGAGGGCAGGTGCCTTCCGTGCTTGCCTTCTCTTGGGGGAAGGGAAAGCCTGAAAAAAAAAATTTCACTGGTGTTGTCACTGATGTACTGTTTTGTGATTAATTCTGTTTGAACATTTGTGTGCATGGAGATAGCACTCTCAAAGAAAACACAGGAATGATGAGAGAGCAACATCAGTCACCACAACCTTAGAAATTTTCAGACGCCAGAGTGTGCCCCTTGTTGTGTGTGGGCTCTGTCACATGCTGAGTCAGTCCATAGTTATCAAGAACATAACACAGTTCTTTAGTCCGTCTGTCCTGAGGGTTGTCAACATGGATGTTAAAATCACCAACAATAACTACACAGTTGGAGTCAATACAAATTATAGACAGCAGTTCAGCAAAGTCATCAAAAAAGGTAGCATGTTATTTAGGTGACCTGTAGATATTTAGAAATATAGCTCGAGAGGAGGAATTCAACTGAAGAGCCACATATTCAAAATAATCAAAGTTTCCATAATAAATCTGTTTGCATTGGAGGGAATCCTTTTGGAGAGGAGAGTGACCTGGATGGGGTGAAGGAGGTGAGTCCTCAAAGGTGGAAGTTAGTGAAGGGGGTGGAGACTCCTCTCGATTCTGATGACTGTCATGTTTAAAGCTCTCCTTAGGCGGGGGCTGAGGTGGCTCTCTTTCAAGGTTTCTGCCCCTAACATAGTACTGACGACCTCATAAAAATGTTGAAATATAGCAAATAGCCTACAATATCTACAAAGTCCCAGTGATTTCTAAGTATCCAGGAGCTGCCGCTCATAGTTTATCGCAGAATAAAAACAAGAATATCAGCAGGGAGAATAAGAGGCAAAGTCACAGCTGGACCCTGACAAAGTTTCTGACATTATTGGTAAGTCAAAATTTATTTTATATTAATTTCATTAATTTCCTTATCTGGACAAACAAACCCTGCACATGCACTTAAGACTTATTTTTGTCACACCGTGGTGGGGTTGTCTTGTCTTGGGGTTTTTTTTGTCTTGTCATTTCCTGTTTTATTTTGAAAGAAGTAACTCTCCTCTCGTTTCAGGTCACTTGCCCTTCCTCATGTGTCACCGGTCTGATTGTCTTCCCTGATTCCCGATTGTGTTCACCTGCTCCTCATTACCCTCATGTGTTCAAATAGTCCGTGTCTCCCCTTGTCTTGTGCCAGTGTGTTCGTCTTGGTTCATGTGCGTTCACCCCAGCCGTCTTCACAGTTTTGGATCACAGTCATTGCCACAGTTCTTGTCGGTTTCCTCCAAGTGAGAGATTTTTTGTTGTAAGTTTTATATCTTAGTAGATCTTCCTAGTTTATGTTTGCATAGCCTTTTGTTTCCTCCGTGAGGAGTGATTTTTATTTACTTACCTTTTATATCATAGTACCTCCAGTTATAGGAGAGTTTTTGTTGTTTCTATTTTTGGTTCCTTTTTCCTCTGATTCTAGAGTGATTTTCTGTTTTTTATATGTAGTCTTTTTTCCTCCCTTATTGGAGTGATTATTATTTTTGTATTGGTTACCCTGCTTCTTCTCGAAGAAGCACGTTATAGATAATATTTCATAGCCTGTTTTTGTTTCTCTGCCTTGGTATTTAGAAGCCTGAATTACTAATAAAGACTCTGATACCCTGCATCTGCGTCCTGTGCATAAGTCTGGCGTGACAATTTTGCACATAATTATCATGGAATAGTTGCTTAACAGAGATGTGACATTGCCCAAAAGCCTTTACTTACAAACTGAATAATGTTACAGCCTCCATTTTTGGAAGACATTTTCCCTCCTTCTTCTTGTTTCTCTGTTGCATATATCTTAAAATGAATGGAAGCGAAATTGGTTAACTGTTTAAATTGTGAAAATAAACCATTCTAAGTGATGTACTGCATATCATTATGGATTACATTGGGATAAGAGTTCTGAATCAATATTGGGAATGACAGAAAATAATTGTAACATAGTGTACTCAGACAGACATGCTTAACATCTGCAGGTGAGATGCATTGTTCCTGTAATATTGGTTCTTGTGGACTATATTGGTTCTTTCCCTCTGTTTCTGCCTCTATGTCTGTTATACCACCCTCCCCCACCCCCTGCTTTTATCTTCCAGGACAACATGGATTTTTCTTACTTTGGATGCACTGATGAATTCTGCACTACATGTGTTTTTTTTTCATTGTACTGATTTTCATAAATTAAAATAAAATAACATGTATTTGGTTTGTAGTGTATTTTAGTGTATTTTTGCTATACTTACTAAAACTGTTTAATTCTGAATTAAATCTTTTTTTTAGGGAGCAAATACAATACAATTGTAAAAGCATGTATCATATAGGATTTTGAATTCACTGTAATGGATTTAAGTAAGAAACAAAAAAATCACATATTTCTAGATGATTTCAAATTTTTACCTTATTCCTATAGGTTTACGAAATGTGGAATTTCAGACTTTTATAAGACTTAATCCTATAGCATTTTATAGGATTAGATGCATTTTTATAGGAATAATTATATGATAGTCCTTTTGGTTCTTATAGTCCTATAAAATAGGATTTTGTCCGATATAAAATATTATAGGATATAATCTATAGGATTTTGTCCTATAGGATTGGTTCCCAAAGCAAATGTCAAGGAGGCCTGCACTGCTTCAGCTCTACCACCACTTGGTAGACCAGATCATAATCTGGATTTTCTTCAGCCTTCCTACAAGCCCTGTGTACTGGGGCAGGCTGCAACCTCCCGCTCATTCAGGAACTGGATCCCGGAGGCCAGTGACTGAAAAGACTGTTTTGAGTGCACTCAAAACAGTATTACAGTGTCCATACAGAATTTTCCTGTGACCCCAACAGTAGTTTGAGTCACAGGAAAATGATAAAACCAAGGACCCTGACCTTGATTGAATGGTTGAATGTACCACGGACTACATTAACTTCTGTATGGACACTGTAATACTAGCAAGGAATGTACACTGCTTTCCAAACAATGAACCCTGGATCACCAGTAACATTAAGACCCTCCTCAACCAGAAAAAGGAGGCCTTCAGGGATGGAGACAGGGAGAAGCTCAGGTGTGTGCAACATGAGTTGAAGAGGAAATTAAAGTAGGGAGGACCACAAAAAGAAAGTAAAGAGGAAGCTGCAGCACAACAACACCAGAGAGGTGTGGAAGGGGATGAGGACTATCACTGGCTATAAAGAGAAGACCAGCCAGGCAACATCAAGTGATGTGGACTAGGCCAATGAGTTCAAACTGTTCTACAACAGGTTTGACACAGCCTCACCTGTTCTCTTTCCCGTTGTTCAGCTGCAGCTCTCCTACGGCATCTCCTTCACAACCTGACACTGCAGCTGCAACTCCCTCCACACTGGGGTCAAGTCTCCTGTCCTTTACAACGGAAGAGGTGAGGGCGGAGCTCCAGAGGCTATGTCCTGGAAAGGCAACAGGCCCGGATGGTGTGTGTCCGAGGCTGTTAAAGAACTGTGCAGCCCAGCTGGCTGAGCCTCTCCAGAGGAGATGATCCTGGATTGTGGATTACCTGACAAGAGGTGGTGCACCCTTATAAATACCTTGGTGTGAGAGGTGTCCCTGAACACAGATGCCATCCAACGGAAGGGGCAGAGCTGGCTCTTTTTTCCTCAGGAAGCTCAGGTCCTTTGACGTCTGCAGTGAAATGTTGCACATGTTTTATCAGTCAATGGTGGCCAGTGTGCTCTTTTAAGCTGCAGTCTGCTGGGGCAGCAGCATGTCAGACATGAACACAAAGAGACTGGAGAAGCTGGTAAAAAAAGCTGGGTCTGTGCTTGGCAAGAGTCTGGACTCACTCAGGACTGTTGTGGAGAGACGCATGCAATGTAAGATGGAAGCCATCTTAGACAATACCAACATCCTCTCAACAACATTCTGGCAGGACAGAGAAGAGCTACAGGTGCAGCAAACGTCTCATCTCACTGCGCTGCAGAACAGAAAGGTTGAGGAGATCCTTTATTCTCACTGCCATCAGGCTATACAACACCTCAGCCAAAGGAAGTGGACTGATGTAATTATTATTGTTTATTTATTATTCAGTTATTATTCAGTTAGTATTATTATTATTATTATTATTATTATCATCAATGAGCTAATGGACACATGAATTTCCCCTAGGGGATAAATAAAGTATCTATCTATCTATCTATCTATCTATCTATCTATCTATCTATCTATCAAATGGATTTCTTTTAGAATGCTATAGGGCTTTTACAGTTATTTTATTTTTATTTATGCATTTTATTTGTCATTATAGCAGGCGGTTTTGAATATGTTTGAGGAATGCAAAATCAATATTCATACTACTCCCACTACCACTAGTAGAAGTATTGTATTGAATTGTTCTATATAAAGTTTATCGTCGGATAACGACGATAGAGCGACGTACTTATCAACGACGTTTGAAGGACACTCCTCTCACGTTATTACCACACCACAGGCTCCTTCGGTAGGAATTCCGTGGCACTATCTACCCGCCACAGCTGGTGTATGATCCCACAATTCTTCACTTCACCAAGCGGGGCTTCCGGCTGTGACGTGTCTGCCTGCTGCAGAACCGGATGCTGGATGTCAGAGTGGACTGCGAAGAGGTGGAAGGTAACTGTGTGAATCTCTAGTGAAGACTGGCCGGGGTGAACATGGTGCTGTGGCTGCTTGGAGCTGCGCTGCTGGCTCGAGCGGCTGGCTTCTACCTCCCGGGCCTGGCGCCCGTCAGCTTCTGTGAGCCGGGGAAAGACCAATTTCCAGATTGCAAGGTAAACATGACATGTTACAGGTACCTGTACGACCACCAGGTGTTTTCACAAAGTAGCCGAATGACTGATTTACAGTGCAACCACTAAACAAACAGGGAGAAGGTACCGGATGCGTCAGAGGAGCTCGAGCTTTATAAACATCTGTAATGAGTAGCGTTAACCACAACAAACAGCAGGCTAACGTCCACGGAATCCGTGCTAAGCAGACAACAAGCTAGCTGTTTAGACGGCTCTAAGTAACTTCGTTAGTTTGGATATCAAACTATGAACAGCTACTGGCAGACTGGAGCCTGTAAGCGACTCATTGTTTGGTTATAATGTTAGTCCTGGATAACCTGTGTCACGAAGCTGGCTATGAACAGTTCTGTTCACTGAGTTCATGTGGAGAGAGCCACAATGAAGTGATTAATATGATGTGAGATGAAACAGCAACAGCAGAAAGTGAAATCTAAAGAATATGATCACATAACTAAAATAGAAAAGAAGCTGCAGATCAACACTAGAAAAAAATCCTATAAGTAAAGCTGATGATATACTGTAAATAAGTGCAGGGATTATTATAAGTGTCAGTAATGTTACTATTCTAAACATGTGACGCACAAAAAGTTAAAATTATTGTCAGTTTCTGAAGCAGAGGTGGAGTAGTTCATGTCTAATGACGTCTGTCTGACTGAGAAAAATCATCACTGTCAGGAATATAATAATTGTGCAGTTAAAATGCAGTAGTTGAGAGGCTGTTAACAGGTTTTGATCTGATCCTCTGAAGTAACCTGCTTTGGAGCAGGTTAGGAGTTCAGCGTAAGTTACCATGGTGATTTACCCTAGTAAAGATGTGAACCACTGTTGTAGGATTGAAAACCCAGAGTTAAATCTGAAGTTATCTCAATAACCTCAGATCCCGTTTTGTAGTACAGGCTTCTCACCTAGTCAAAAGTGAGAGTTGCCACATACCACAGAGAGCCATGATCTTATCTTATGTCATATTTATGCTGACTACTTGAAAATATTTGAAGTCATTATACTACCAAGTAGTGGGAGGCATGATACATTACAGTGTTTCCCACTGGTCTGAAATATACTTGTGGTGGTAGCTGGCGAAAAGGGCCGGTATTACCTGCTGGCACAAAAATGGTCTACTACATGTGACAAACAACAAATACGTGTGACCTTTAATACAATATTTTGATTTACTGAATATTTCTATTAACTTTACGTAATATACTTAACAGATCCCACCCACATGGGAAATCAGTGGGTACGCATCTGTACATTTCCCCTATATACATTGTATTTTGGAATGAACATGGCGATGTGCACCTGAAAAAATGGGACATGCTTTTTTTATTTGACTTGATATTTGAAAATTAAACTTGAAAAAAAGGATGTAATTAGATTAAAGCAGCAAACAAAAACATGTTCAGCAAAAACAAAATGCGGCCAAAGAAGCATGTGAGTTAATTTTTATTTATTCAATTAATAATTTTCCTTTCACAAGCTAACTATGCCATGAATGTGACCAGAGTCAAGTCATTGCCCACACACCTACATCTTTGATAATGATGTGCATAAGATTATATTTTAAATAAATATTGATTTAACTACAATATCTGCGTCCGCATCTTCTAACATACAGTACTTGTCTCTTCTAACGTCTCTCTCTCGCCCAAGTCAAGACTATGTGTGGGAAACACTGTATTACACCCTGTCATTTTATGTCACATCCTCTAAAATAAAGAGGTTTTCTTTTTTGCAGTCTTTTGCAGTCACCATCAATGACACAAAGTCCACCAAGGTTTCCCACACAGACTTTGCTTTGGCAGGCCAACCAGGTATATTAATGGCCACTCAAGTATATTTGCTGACTCATTTTGACATTTTATTTGTATGTTTTTTAATCTGTCAGAACTGATATCGGTTACTATTCTCTGCTCGCTCCCCTGTAACACTTTGTTCTGATAATGTGCAAATGTTGTGTTAACATTCACATATAGTATTATAGTATATTTCAGATCTGTGGGAAACACAGTCCATCATGTAAAAAACTTGAGTTAAAACCACTCAGACTAACAAGAAAACATACAATCAGAACATAATAAATAATTCCAAACTTTTGTGCTTCTAGCAGCAAACACAGTTTGAAGGACAAACCACTAACAGAGGCCTACACGTTAGATTATTCCCCTGCTACACACTAAGAAATGGAATAGACCTAAAAAGGTACAAAGACTTTGTCACTCCAGCTGCAGCAGGGTACAGCACTGTACCTTTGAACATTGGTACATTTTTATACTTTCTTGTCTACCTCTTTCTGTACCCCTAGTGACAAAATGTTTTTTTTTTTTTTTTTTTTTTTTTTGGCATTTTTGCCTTAATTTTGAGAGAGACAGGAAAGCCAGGTTGAGAGAGAGGGAATGACATGCAGCAAAAGGCCACAGGTTGGACTCGAACCCATGGCCGTTGCGGTTAGGACTAAACCCATGTGATATGCATTCCACCAGGTGAGCCACAGGGGTGTCCCCAGAGTTGGCTTGATTGAGTTATGAGGTACAGTTAGAGCGACATGTCATTTTATACCTTTATGAGGCAAAAACATACCCCTAAATTCAGAGACAAAATCATTGAAAGTTTTTGACCAAAATTTATTTAAAGAAATGTATTTTAAAAAACATCATCATCAGCCTGCACCATAATCTTGTTAAAACTACAATTATGTACCCTTTGCTGTCAGCAATGATCTTGTACCTTTAAAATTAAACAAAGGTCCACAGTTATCACCCTAAGGACCATTTCACTACCTTACAGGGTACTTTTCTGAAAATGTACCGTTGGGTACAAAAATGATACCCCTATTTCTCTGTGTGTACACAACTAAAGGCACACCATGAAAAAGTCAGTATGCTTTAGATTCAAGTACATAGTAACTCCACAGCAAAAACATTAAAGTGCTGCATTGCCACAATTTATCTGTATCTGCTTCACCCAAACATTAATAACACACTGAAAAATCACAGCACAGCTACAGTATCTATACATTCAGCAGCTACACTCCTGTCTTCATATGATGTTCAGGTTTAACTGGGTTGTTTTAGAGAGGTGTTGATTCAACTGTGTGATAATTCTAAAATTAATCATCACCTCCCTGGAACAACACAAACTGAACATTATAATCTTCATGGAGGCTTATCTGTTACGGGACTGTAGCATTACTATATCATTTGTAGCTAGGTGCACCTAACACCTAACTGCCAACTGAATGTATCCTACTTTCATGTAGTAAACAATTTGTTGGAATTTCCTTTCTTTGCAGTCACATTGTCAGAATTGGGTTCATTAGAATGTTCATCTGTTGTCACTTTAATAAGTCTCCAAATGATCCAATGATAGTCAATTTTTCAGGTCAGGCTTTGTGATACCTCAGCGTGGACTAGTCCTGATTGATTGTCATGCTGCCATAGACAACTGTTCTACACACTGGTTTACACTCTGCTCAGTAAAAAGTCCTGAAAACAGACTGTGGAGTAACAGAGGGACTGTGACATGTAGAGTCCCCACAAGAAGAAATTATCCCCTGAGCATTTTTCATGATTAATATTTTTAACTGGAGAATTGAGTCACACGTCTTTAAGTATTTTTCTATTGAGCTGTGTCAGAAAATGTTAAAGGGGTCAATTCACCCAAATTACTCACACAGTGACCTACACACACACAAACAAAAGAAAAAACAATTTCCTTATGTATCCAAAACATTGTTTGTGGAAAGGTTACACTGCTGAGTCTTAAAAATGTCATAAAGGCCTCATGACAAGGTGGAAAAAAGAAAATCAACCAGTCTGAACAGCATGAAAACAAAAGTGTGATTGGAGTGTTGCTGCCCTCTTCTAATATGTGTCTGTTTGCTGTGTGTTCTTCTAGTCGATCATTGAGCTGTTTGTGAACAGGCTGGATTCAGTGGAGTCTGTTCTGCCCTATGAATATACTGCGTAAGTAGCACTGTACCAATATGTCTGTTGTTTCTTTGGAGGATTTCTCGTCTTATCCTTCAGGCTTCAGAACCTAATTTATCTTATTGTTGGCCAGAAACATTCAAGAGTTGTTATTCTTGCAGTTAGAAGCTAAAGTTGATTTTTATGTATTCAGATATTTTATTCAGTAAGTTCAAAAACTATTACAGTGCAGAGTCCCCTCATCACTACAGTGTTTTAAAAAAAATAGACTGACAGGACAGGTCTCTTAGTTTGAGGAATGTTTTGAATTGAAATATTTTTATCATGGCTTTATTCACAACAGATTGAACTAAAAGGCAAAACAATAAGCCTCAACCTTCAAAGTGAAGGTAATTGTCATTTTTACATTTAATTTGCTAGTTTTAGATTCACAAATGGATCAGTTTTTCATGTTACATTTTAATATAATTTACATGTTCCCAACTACTGGAATTACAGGACGTAAAGAGTTGAGAAACCCTAGAACCAGAAAAAATGTCACTAGTCCAGTATGTAATTGGGAATAAAGATATAGTTTAATGTACTCTGAAAAGTCTCCTCCTTTTTGTGTAGGTTTGACTTCTGCTCTGAGAAAACAATGAAACGTCCATCAGAGAATTTGGGCCAGGTTCTTTTTGGGGAGAGAATCGAACCTTCACCATACAAGGTACAAGAGTTGTTGAAGATATTTTAGTTGCTGTTTACATACACAAAATAGACAGCAGATAGCAGCTCACAGATATGTGTGTAGGCCAGTTACACAAAAGTGGAGACTACCTTATGATGGGATCACACCAGCCCCGATGTCTGTCAACAAATAGACATTAAATAGTCATTATTCAATTCAATTCAGTTCAATTCAATTCAATTCAGCAAACGTTATTTGTCACCAGGGGGCAATTTAAAGAGCACATAGAGTAGTAAGTAGAGTAGTAAGTAAGTAAGTATACAAAAAACACACAACAAGTGTCAGACAACTGTACACATTAAGAAAAAAAAGGAAGTGGTGCAAAACAAATACTATACTATATGTAACTATAATGATAAGGATAGTAACAAGATACCATGGGAAAATACCATCACTAGTGCAGATAAAACACTGTACACCATTATTTACATATATTGTTTCTATGTTATCACATCAGTGCTCATGGCTCACCCATCTTCAAACTCGGCCGCATTTTGAGCTCAACCTCACACTTGTAAAGCTTCATGACTTTATCTTGCAGGTTGTGAAGCTATCATGGTGACGGACGGACAGACGGACGGACGGACGGACGGACGGACGGACGGACGGACGGACGGACGGACGGACAGACAGACAGACAGACAGACAGACAGACAGACAGACAGACAGACAGACGAGTGGTTTCTGCTACAATAGGACTCTATAGGACCACCTTTTTCCATGATGAAACACACAAGGTGAAAACAGTACCAGCCCCACATTCTTGCAGCAGAGTAATAATAAAGCAGAAAATCTTTATACTGGATTATAGCTTCTGACCTTTATTTGAACTACCAAGCAATGTTGCATTGTCATATTGCAAATATATGTATATATTTTATATTTACTTAAATAAATATGAAAAAGACATACTGCTGTCATGCTGACATCATGGTTAACCCGTCAATAAAATTATCTAGATAAACACTCTAACCCTAACCCTAACAATAGTAGCTTCAGTACTGATCATGATAAACCAGTGGAAAAGACAGAACAAAGGCTCCTCAGAATGATACATCTTTGGTATGTGTTAAGCACTCAGACAGATGTATGTGTTTCACATGCTGTGAAAACTATATATATATTTGTTCAGGTTTGGCAGCGTCATGTCACGCACTCTAGCTCTCGATGTTCTGTGCAATACACACCCACTATAAAATCTGCAACTTTCTAAAAATAGCATAAAACTTTAAGTCGCTATTTGTAAGTTTTCTTTTTTAATAGTTATCACAACATCAATTTTTTCACAGTTTTTCGCAAATTGTGTCGCCATGGTTACTGCCGGAAGAGTTCTAGTTTGTCATATGAAATACATGTGATTGCTACAAGCTGCTGCTGCCGCTGCTGAAGCTCGCTGCTTTTGTCCTGGTCCTGCTCCTACTTGCAGCTGGAGTAGTGGCAGCTTTCTCTCAGCAATTACATCTCAAAGCTCAAAGGAGTAATAACCTATCAAAACAAAAGAAAATGGGATATTAGAGACTACTGCTTGCAGCAATCAACAATAACATTTTGTGTCTCTGTGTGGTGCACAGCAGGCACATAATTAAGCAATAGAAATGAATATGTTAATATGTTGATCAGATTGAATAATAAATACTAAACAATCTAATAAGGTTTTGATAAAAGAAGAAAGAACACTCAAACATTAAGGGAAACTTGCAGTTACATGAGAACATTAATATCAGTTTTGGTGGAACAACTCTACTATCCTTTATGCACTCATTGTACTATAAGTACACAGTCGGGTTCAATGCAGATCAGCATTATTACTTCATCATTTAAGTGGGTGGCAGATTAGACATACTTGTGTTCTTTGTTCAATAGTGAAAAATATTTTTTCAGTTTGATGTAGCTTGGCTAAAAGTTGCCCCTGCTTCCAGTCTTTGTGCTAAGGTAACACAACTCAGGTGTGCTAAGCCTGTGCTGAATGGAACGTTAATATTGATATTATTATTTGACAAGGTATGAAGACAAACGAGGGTTCCTGTATGGGGCTGGTGTGTGTCATTATTCCTTTGTCATAACAGGGGACATAGAAACTTCTGATTGACCAGACAGAGAAACAGCTAGTCTGTGTTTTATATGAGCAAGAAAAGGTTTTAAATTTGACATCTTAGATCCAGCTTCATTTTAAATGTCATGTTGAATTGAAATTTCTATTGTAACATTTGCGCAGTGGAGAAAGTTGTGTTGTTGTATCAGTGACAGCAGACACAAACAAACAGTTGCAGTGGAACAGTGCTCACGACGGTGTGTCCTGTGTCAGTTTGAGTTTAAGAAACCTGCAGTGTGTCAGAAGGTGTGCACCAGAACCTACAACACCAACAACCCATCAGACAAAGCCAAACTGGACTTCCTCAAGAAAGGCATGTTACTCAACTACCAGCACCACTGGTATGTATGACTCACTGACACACACATCATAAAGTGAAAGATAACCTCATGTACACACCAAAACACATGAATAATTTACACATCACAACAGAGGATTTCAAATGTAAACTGGAGGTTTTCTATAAATGGTTTAAAAAAAAACAACAACTAGGCCTTTATGACCAGGGAACTTTTATGTCAGTATATGAGAATTACCTGATCATCATCACTTTCCCTTTTTTCATGAACTTTCACATTAGTTTCGTATAGAACAATTTAATATTGAGTCATCTGAAGTGTTACTGCTAAAATGTGTCATGGCCTACACATGTCCAACCAATGTAGTTCCACACAATAATCCACTTTGCTTCCATTGTAAAGTTGAAAAATACAAAAAAAAATTGAATCCACATGGTCACAAGAAGGTAGAATCCACTGAATCCACTGTTTCTTTGATAAAATAACTTAACATGACACGACATGGTATGAAAACGATATGTCTCCACAGCTACTCTAGCCTTCACTAGATTCCTTTGTTCCACTGCTTAACAGGAGTAAATGTGCCTGGTGCACTCCCTTAAAGTGACAGTACCTGATTACCAAAGAAAATGAGTTAATTAACCCATTCTATACATGAAATATAATCTAAAGTAAATTTTTCTCTCCCAAAAAACATGAAATAGATTATGAACAATTTAATTTTACCATTTTAAATACACAGGTATAACTCAAAATTTACATCTTCTAGGAATGTTATAAGAAAACTATGAGGAAAAAAATCAAGCTAATCCTTCTCTCATACATTCCCGACCCCTAATTGTTCTCTAAACTTAGAAATGATTACCAACCAGCATAAACAAAGAACCATAGGCTAATTTAAGTCCTAAGAACAGTCTTGAGTCTTTTCTTTTTTCTTCTGATGTCAGAGTCACTAGTACTTCACATACCGTGGGAGTGCAGTCTTTACCACTGCCTCATACTGATTCCAAGAAAAGACGGATCTTGGTGATAGGTGTATCTAGTTCGGTGGTCTTGGACTTTACACAAACCTGGCAAACAAGTCCATGATCATCTGGCACCGATTGGATCACTTTGCCTAAGACCCATGAGTTTATAGTTGCAGTCTCATCCACACGCACAACAATGTCCCCAGGCACAAGTTTAATGACTTGTGTGACCACTTCTGGTGGAGCTCAGGCAAATACTCTGTCATCCAACGTTTCCAAAACAGGTCCAGCATATATTAGACCTGCCTTCACCTTTGGCGTGCATAAAGGTCTTCTGGAAAAGTCCTGGAGGCAGAGTTGGCTTAGTTTTCAGTAGTTGGGGTGAGTGCCTCCCAGTCATTTGGGTCACTGGATGGTCTGGTAATGGGCCAACTGTTAAGGATGGCCTCAGCCTCACAAAGAAATGTCTGAATGCTCTCCTCATCTAGACCTTGTTTTTAGGGTGGAATTGAGGATTTTTCTGATGGACCTGATTAAACGCTCCCGCGCTCCATGGTGGGAGGCTGAACATGGAACATCCATTTAATGCCTGGTTAAAGCAAAGTGCCCTCTATTTTGGATGTGTTCCTGCTCTGCCCCAACAGAATTGGTCCCGTTATCAGAACACAGCTCCTCATCTTGACCTCTTCTTGCAGTGAATCAGAGTAGTGTTAATGAAGTAATATGTGTCGAGGGATGCTGCTGCCTCCAAGTGCACAGCACAAATGGCTAAGCATGTGAAGATGATGCCATATGCCAGTTGACAGTAGACCTTCCATGCTTGACCTTGAAAGGACCAAAATAGTTTTCTCCAGTTTTAGCGAAGGGTAGTTCAGATTGTTGTACTAGCACTGGGGATCCAGTATTTTAGACGCAACTTGGATAAAACATGATTGTGCCCACTGTGACCTTATTCTTTGTGAATCTCCTGAAGGATGAGCTCTGACACACGTAGGTCTTTAGACAGAATGGGTGTTTGGCTTCTTCTGGCATGGCAGCCCAACTTAGCCTTAGATTGAGCTTGTATATGTGGCTGCTCCTTTTGACAGGCTCACCCTTTTACAGAGTGTTGATTTCCTCTTCCAATTTCTATTCTTTGGCAGTGGCGTATAATCTTCAGTTTAGCTTCTTTCAGATTATCCAGGGGTAAGGTTCTTTTGCTGTGGCTTGTTTGTAGTTTTCCATAATTTTGTGTTTGTGTCTTTGTTGATTCTGATCAGCGTACCTTAAACATCCATGCCACTGCTTAAGAAAGCATGTCGCATTCCATGAGGAAAAGTGCTCTATCAGTTGCTTCATTACATCCATCCATTCATTTAATCCCAGAGCATCGATTGTAGCATTTTTCTTGATCGCAGGATCTGCTCTGGTGAGGTCTTCCAGGTGATCAGGAATCTATGGCCAGCTGTCAGCTGACTTGGTGAGAATGTCTGGTCCAGAGATCCAGGCTTGGTTCTGCACAAAAGAGTCCACCTTCTGTCCTCTTGATGCATAATCAACAGGATTTAAGTGTGTGCTGACATGCCTCCACTGAGATACTGTAGAACCTTTAAGAATGTCTGATAATGTATTAGCTACGAATGCGTGGAACCTTGTCCTCTCATGCGTCCTGCCATAGTTGCCGCTGTTAATTCTAAGCATGGGATGGTGGTGGGCTTAAGTGGGGCAACTGTTGTCTTTTCCAAGATCTTTCTTTGCTGGTAGGATCACTGGTGCAAAGATTCCCAATGGATCGTAGATGGAACTCACCATGGCGAGGATGTTTCTTCTGGTGGGAGGTTTGTTTGGATGACAATTCTGAATTTGAAATTGTCAGACTGGACACACCATTGTAGTCCCAAAGCTCTCTCTAAGGGGAGTGAATCCTGATCTGTATAGATAGATAGATAGATAAATACTTTATTTATCCTCTAGGGGAATTCATGTGTCCGTTAGCTCATTGTTGATAATAATAAAAATAACGATTAATAATAAATAAACAATAATTGAAATAGTCCACTTCCTTTGGCATTCCTGATACACGCCACAAAAGCTGTCATCTGAGTATTTCTGGATGTGGCAAGACTCGGAGTTGTATTTAAAGTCCACCATATACAGGGTGAACAGGAATGGAGCCAGAACAGTCCTCTGTGGAGCCACAGTGACATACTGTTAGACGGCACAGAAGACAACCGTCTTCTGTGCCGTCTAACCCTGATCCACAATCCAGGATGTGAAGCAGGGATCAACCCCATTCCCTTCCAGCTTGTCTTTAAGAATGGGGGTTGGGTGGTGTTAAATGCACTTGAATCAAAGAAAATCAAAGAACATAATCCTCATGTAACCACCTGGCTAGGCCTACTTTCAGTCCTGATACATTAACCATATATCGTCAGTGTGGTAACTTCAGCTAGAAAATAACCACTCGACAACATCTTGGCCGTATTTGCACTTTATATAAGGATGGCGAAATGAACTTTTCATCCAACGCTAATCTGTAGACATCTCTGTCGGCGGGATATCAAGCATACAACAACGCCCGGGGCGGAAGTGTCCTTCAAAATAAATGCAACATCTGCAACATCGACCCCTGGTGGGTGCATAGCTCTTATTCTGATAAGGACTACTTAACTTAATAATGTTCACATTATAACAGTCAGTAACATGAATTACCATTTTTTCCCACATTGGAAGAACTAATGATGTCTGCACTCTGCACTGTTTCACCTGTCCTCGCGATTCTCCTCCTCTCAAACTCTCTTTTTAAAAATAATCTGCGATTTGAGATATTTCTGCAAAAAAACAACAATTTACAGATGGGATGTTAATTTAAGGATTTAGGTTAATTTAGGGAAACTTTTCACCTTTTATGTGGAAAAAAGTTTGGTTTTACTTGACCTGAAGCACTGTAGGCCTCTTTTACATTTGCATACAACAGATCAAGTCCATGTCCTTCTTTTTTTGATAATTCCAATCAGGGTAATGGTGAGGTCTGGCCCCTATAGAGGTTGCTCATTCATTGTGGTTCCCTGATAAGAGTCACCACTATCAAAAACAACATGTATCTTTTGTTTTTTGGGACAGTACACTCCATGGTGTGGAATGTACCAAACCTTTCCATCGTTTCGGTTGAGGTCTTCATCAGGAACCTTCATTGAAAAGCTTTTGGTGATCATGTTAAACATGAAAGTGATGTAGTCCTCGCAAAATTAAGAGGTTCTTGAGAATGCCTTTTCTTCAAGTTCAAGGCACGCTGCTCTGCTATTACACATTTGTTTGGCATTCAAATCTCTTTGTTCTTCAGTGGTGAGGCAATACAATAATGTCCCTCTACCAGTCTGGTAGCCTGTGACACACAGTTCTGGTACCTAAAGTAGGGATCAGCTGGCTAAGATAAATGACTACAGACCAGTGTTCACATCACACATCATGAAGACCCTGCAGCGGCTGCTTCTTCACCTTCTGAGGCCACAGGTTGAATATGCACTAGACCCCCAACAGTTTGTCTACAAGGAACATATTGGAGTGGATGATGCCATCCTTTACATGCTCCACCAGGCCCATTCTTACTGGGATTAGCCAGGTGGTTACATGAGGATTATATTCTTTGATTTTTCAAGTGCTTTTAACACCATCCAACCCCCTATTCTTAAAGACAAGCTGGTAGGGATGGGGATTGATCTTTGCTTCACGTCCTGGATTGTGGATTACCTGACAAGACGACCACAGTATGTAAGGTTGGGTTTTTGTGTCTCAGGGACAGTGATGAGCAGCAATGGGGCTCCACAGGGGACTGTTCTGGCTCCGTTCCTGTTAGCCCTGTGGACTCGGCGGACTTTAACTACAACTCTGAGTCCAGCTGCATCTAGAAATACGCAGATGACACAGCTATTGTGGCGTGTATCAGGAACGGGCAGGAAGAGGAGTGCAGGGATCTGACAATGGCCTTCAGTGAATGAAGCGACAAGAACTGCCTCTTTCTGAACATCTCCAAGACCAAGGAGATGGTCATCGACTTTCGGAGGTCTAGGCCCACCCTTCAGCCACTTAAGATTTGAGGGAAGGACATTGAGATGGTGCACACTTTTAAATACCCAGGTGTGCACCTCGACAGTAAACTGGACACGGATGCCATCTACCAGAAGGGGCAGAGCCAGCTCTTTTTTCTCAGGAGGCTAGTACTCTGATAAAACATGTGCAGCATTTCACTGCAGACATCAATCAGTGGTGGCCAGTGTACTTTTTTATACTGCAGTTTACTGGGGCGGGCATTTCCGACATGAACAAGGACACTGGACAAGCTGGTCTAAAGTGGCAGGAGTCTTGAGGTCCATTTTTGAGAGATGCATGCAATTTAAGATGGAGGCCACTCCATCAATACCAACCACACGCTACACAACATTCAGGCAGGACAGAGGAGCAGCTACATCTGCAACCAACGTCTAATCTTGCTGCTCAGCAGAACAGAAGTTTTGGAGATCCTTTGTTCCCACTGCCATATAACACCTCAGCCAAATGAACTGGACTAATATAACTAATTATGTTATTATTATTATTTATTAACTATTACTATTACTACTAATGAGCTACTGGACACCTGAATTTCCCTTAGGGGATAAATAAAGTCCATCCATCCATCCATCCATCCATCCATCCATCCAAGAACATATTTTAATAACAATAACAACTAGAAAATTCCTGAAGAAATGTTGAATGCGCCTGCTGCGTGGTGCGTATCCATCACAAATGTTTCAATCTCTACAGACTACGTTACTTTGAGTTTCATTCATGTTGTAGAGACTTATCCTAACTCTGACTTAAGTCACTGCAAGTATCCCTCAAGCTTTTTGTAACTGTGAGGACTGGCCAAAGTGACCTCACAATGATGGTTTCGAACCTAAATTTGTCACTCCAACCATAGCAAGACATGTATACACACATGTACATGCCCTAACAGAAATTGATCTGCGATAAAGCTACTGTGATTTGCTAGAACAGAACAACATGGACAACAGTAAAACATGCCGTGAGTTAATCAGTCTAATTAGCTAATCAGTCAGTTGTGTGAAAGTTTGGGCAGCAACTTTTCTTGTGTGTGTCTGTAAATGTGCATGTGTGTATTGTTGTGTGTGTGCCAGTAGAGCTGTCTACCATAGAGCCTCCATAAAGCTTGTGTTACCAGGTTGAGACACTTATACAGTTAATAGCCATAAGGTGGAGATTGTGTTTGTGTGCTTGTTAATGTATGTGTGCGCGTGGTGTTAGGAACTGCCAAAGCGTAACCTTCAAAAAGCCCTTTGAAGTTGTCAGGACTGGCCCAAATGACCTCACAATAATGGTTTTTTAAACAAAATTGTCCTCACAATCAAGGGAAGACATGTACACACTGTGTTGATTTACCTTATAGTTGCTCTCATACCTGACTTAAAACGCTAAGAGTTAATGAGTTTAATTAGCCAATCAGAATCAGCTTGGTCCATTTCACTGATTTTCAGTGTTACTGGGCAGTTTTTCAGGAATGGCAGTCAGAGTGTGTGTGATGTCATCCACTCTAGCTCTGAACAGTCCGTGCAATACACATAAAATATGAAACTGTCTAAGAATGACATAAAACGCAAACGCCACCAAAAGAGTCTCAAGTCTTGAGACCCGTTTAACGTTTCACCCATTTTTCTACGTTGTAGTATGATGCAGCAGTAGCTCCAAAGCTCCAAAGAGGGGTGGGTTTGGTCATTTTCATGACGTCCCCCCCATTCATTCTCTGTGGGATTTTTTTGTAATTTATGTCGCCATTTATGTCACCATGGTTACTCGAATCACTAAGAGAAGTCATAGTACAGCATTCCCAATCGAGCCACATGTATTGAGATATATATTGTCTGGGTTTTCTCAAAACTGCGAGACTAGATTCGTGCTGAAATTTCGATACGGTAGATGAATAATAACTTAAAAATGCATTTCCTGCTGAAAATATTGTGAATCCTGAGAGCTGAATGAGATTGCTGAAGCAACTGCTGAAGCAATGCGGAAGTAGCTGAAACAGTGGTTTAAGATTAAAAGCAGAACTTGTAAACTGGAGATTGAATAGCATGAAATGGTTGAAAAATGTCTGAATTGTTGATGGAAAGTCTAATAGCACCAAAATGTACAAAACAGAAAAAGATGTAAGTTGATAGCTGAATGGCCTGAATTGGCTGAAAAAAACCTGAAGAAAGAAGAAATGTACAAGCAAAAATTTTTTTGACTAGATATCTGACACAATGCTAAAATGGTTGAAAAAGCAGCTCATATTAACTGAAGTGTACAGTGCTTTGAAAATGAGGTGCCAAAATGTTAAATTGGGGGAGCTGAAGTCCATTAACTGCAATAGCTGAGAACTGAAACATGTTGACACACTTGAAAGCCAAGTCATTTACAAGGTGGAAGTAGGAGTAAAATGCCTTAAAACTGTGAAAGAAGAAATCATTTGTATTAGTAACAGAAAGATTAACTGCATCCTAAACAATAGAAACTTTAATTTAAGATATTAATAAGCTGAATGATGACTTGATACCTGAAAGTCTTAAAGTTTGAATGAAGTCTGTAGCTGAAAGTATGCTTAAGTAGTTGAAGGTCAAAGAGGCAGAAGTTTTGAGGGATTTGAACATCGTCTCCATTGACTTACATTGTAAAAAAGAATTGCAGAAAATCTTAATATTTCAAAAATTATAAATAGCATCAAAACGTTGAATATAAGAATAAATCTCCTGAAGTAGCTGAACATTTTGATAGTTCCGGGAGTACTTAACAACCGAAGGAAAGTAAAAGGAGGATCTCAAATGTAACACCAGTGGAGCAGGCTAAATTCAATACATCTGCTGCTGAAATGTAATCTCTCTATATGAGTACTTACTTGTAAACAGCTTTCTGTCTGTCTGTCTGTCTGTGTCTGTGTGTGTCAGTGTGGCTGTGTGTGTCTGGGCCTGTTCAGATCTGGTATTAACATGCGTCTTCAGTGATCCAATCACAAGTGGTCAGCGAAAAGTCCGTCAGTTTAGACCTGGATTTAAAATGTTACTCGATTGATCACTTGAGATCAGATCTCACTTCTCCTCTTTATATGCAAATAAACATGTATGCATTGTTGTTTTTAGCCAACTGACAGACAGGTCTGTTGTCAGTGTGCTTTTGTGTGTGGCTGTGTGAGAGAGAGAAAGAGAGAGTGAGCGGGGCACGGAAGGGTTGAGCGAATTATATGCACTGCAAACAAGTCTTATAATGAAACAAAGTTTTATCCATTTGAAATAGTAAAATATTTTCCTTTCATTATGAAACTATGGCAGAACTAATCAGACTGTGACAGAGGACGTCAGTGGAGTTGGCGTTCCTTCAATGTGGCCTAGGACGTATGTGTTCAAACTGCTAAAAGAATGTGGACTTGTGGTCTGAGTGATTGGATCTGAAATGCGTCTTCAATGTGTCACACCTATACTTAGAGCTGACCACTTGTGATCGGATCACCTGTGACGGATGTTAATACCAGGTCTGAACAGAGCCTCTGCTTGTTTTGTGTGTGTGTGTGTGTGTGTGTGTGTGTGTGTGTGTGTGTGTGTGTGTGTGTGTGTGTGTGTGTGTGTGTGTAGGATTGTGGATAACATGCCAGTCACCTGGTGCTATGATGTTGAAGATGGACAGAAGTTCTGTAATCCTGGTTTCCCTATTGGCTGTTACGTCACAGAAGGAGGTCGGCCTAAAGATGCCTGTGTGGTCAATGTTAGTGGGTCACACACAAACACAAACACAGAAAAACGGAAAATTTAAATGATAAAAATATTTGTGTATGAATGTCTCCAACTGCACATAATAAGTGACACATAGTTCAAGCCAACCATCATGTCCTTAAACATATAAGAAGGGTTCCCTTCAAGCCTACACAATAAGGTTTATTAAACTGAAAAAGACAAACAAAGACTTAAGTCAGTTCATAAGGGGGGGGTTGGTGTCAGATTCACTGGGGGGTAGGCACCAGGTCAGCTGCCACAGTGTCTCAGTCTCCACAGTCAGTAAGGTTCATATCCTGCACATAGATGCAGCTGTAACTGTATGAGACTGAACCTTTTTATCCTGTCTATGATTTTAACTTGTGTGTGTTGGTTTTATTTTCCAGTCCAACTTTAATGAAAAAGATGCCTTTTACATCTTTAACCATGTGGACATCACCATCCATTACCACATTGTTGAGCATGAGCAACTAGGAGCACGATTGGTTGCTGCCAAGATTGAACCCAAAAGGTAATGAGTGTCAGTCCTAGCTGATGTGGAGTCAAAATGTAGAGACCAGGCTTTTAGTTTGGTTTGTTTTTTGTGGCTGACTGTACAACGTTTTGTAGCTCTGATGTTGTCTCTGTTGTCCCCTGGTGTCGTTCTGCAGACTAGTATATTAGTATGTATTAATTGGCAGTCTGATGATGTAGGTTCTGCCTGCATTGGGATCAGATCTTATTATGCAAATTAGAAACTGACTGACTTACTTCTCCCTCTCTTTCTCCATCCAGTTATGAAAACCCTAATGACAGTCCTGATTGTTCTGGAGGGCCAAAGTTCCTGAAAAGCAAACACACTGGAATGTTTAAGATCCCATACACCTACTCTGTCAACTTTGTGGTGAGTACAATAGTTTTATTTTTATTTAATGCTGTCTGCGCTTTAAGAGCCTCTAAAAACAACCTGGGCTACAAACTGAAACTGAACTGATACTGAAACTGGGAGAAGGTGAAAAACCTGTTGTATGTAATGTATTTATCTTGTGAAGACTTTTCAAATGACAAACAGTCAAACAGAAATTCAGGTGTCAAGTTTCATGTCACCCATTTTCTTGTCTTAATTCCTGACTAAAGGCACTTCTCTGCCTTTAAACTGCACCACTCAGTTGTGCCAAGCCTCATCTCAACGTTCACCTCTATCTTCAGCTCAATACAAAGTGGTTTCATGGTTCTTCAGAGAACTGTGGAGGTGGAAGTAGGAACAATGCTGTATTTTTATGTACCCTGCAGGACAGTGCAAAGTAATACATTACCATACATTATAGTTGGTGTAAATACAGGAAAATTTTGAAGTTTACAGAGAAGTTTTGAAGACGAAGAAGAGAAGTTTATACATGCGTGATTTCATGAAAGAAAAGATGACAGAACAGAGGTGTGCTGAGTGGGTGACCCACCTGAGCAGGCAAGCATCAGACCATCTTGGCACCTAGATTCAGTACGGCACTGGATCATATCCCCACACCCTCCACTCCTGGTATTGGGGCACACAGTGAGCCGCTATGACACCAAGGAAATAACTTCAGTGCAGGGAATTACCAGGTCACACTACTTCACTGGGCACCCATGCCAAAATAAGAGTCCTAAGTTATTAAGTCGGTGAAAGCAGACCTCCTTCTGTGAACCTGTAATGTCACTGCTAATGCTCTGTCATTTAAATATCTTTCAACAAATCATATTTAGACTTACAGTTAGAATTTATTAATTACAGTTAAACAGATGTTTTTATTTTTTGTCTGAATCAAAGTAAATGCGAGAGTGCATTTTATTACATTTATTAAGTTTGTGTGCTTTATATCTACTCTGTGTGTGTGTGTGTGTGTGTGTGTGTGTGTGTGTGTGTGTGTGTGTGTGTGTGTGTGTGTGTGTGTGTGCGCACGCCCACACCTGTAGGAAGACAAGAATATTCGCTGGGCATCTAGATGGGACTACATCCTGGAGTCAATGCCTCACACCAACATCCAGTGGTTCAGGTAAGACACACAGACACAGACATATACACACATACAAATGTAAGTTCATTAACATCAAATGTTTTTCACACTTATTGTGGTAATCTTTTTTTCAAGTCAAAGTTTGAGAGCATGTAAAGACAGATCTGTGACTGCTAATCCAGAGTAAACAAACATTTGCATCTCCAGAGTTAAATAAGAAATCAGGACGTTCTCTGTTAGATCTTCTGAACTGTTGCTCTCAGTGGAAGCAGTTTGTGTAGCGTGCTCACACAACTAAAGTCAGGGCAGAGCAAACTCCACTGGATTCGAAACAACATCAATGTATGAAGTGACTGTCTTCCCTCCACCATGACAGCACAGTGTAACAGTCCCACCACCGCAGGCATCCGGTCTTCTGAAGGACCAGTTTTCAGTGACTATAAGTTTGTAGTTCGGGGCAGACTAAAGACAGCAGTGAACATTATTTAGTTTTTTTATGTCCCACAGTGTCATGATTCAATCCAACCATTGCTCAATCCTGGTGTCTCTCAGCTGACCTGTTGTCTCCATGCAGAGACTGTCAATATCTATATACTGATACAACATGTAAGTAATGATGTGTTTGATTGGCTGTCTTCTCTCCCCAGCATAATGAACTCGTTGGTAATTGTGTTGTTCCTGTCTGGGATGGTAGCAATGATCATGCTGAGGACTCTGCACAAAGACATCGCCAGATACAATCAGATGGACTCTGTGGTGAGTACTTGTCTGTGTGGCTGGACCACTCTGGAGCAGAGGTGGAGCTGTTGACAGAAAGGTTAATAACTACAGCTTTGATGAACTCACTTTATCTTAAATATCTCTCCTATCACATAAAACATATCAATCATAATCATACAAGGCAGTCATGGAACTGCGGGTACATGACACAGTTGCTGTTGCAGAGTACAGGTTCCTAAAGTCTAAAGCGTTCAAAACTTGTGCAGTGCAACGTTATTGTTAGGTTAGAGGCCTTCATCAGGGATAGGGATGAAGGCCACAAACTGAAATACGTTGGTCAGTAAAGTTGTTTTGAGGTTGTCCATTTGTGTTACTGTCATCACATTTCTCATCTGTCTCGTTCTCCAGGAGGATGCCCAGGAGGAGTTTGGATGGAAGTTGGTCCACGGAGATGTTTTCCGACCTCCCAGGAAGGGGATGCTACTGTCGGTTTTCCTTGGCTCTGGAACTCAGATCTTCATTATGACCTTTGTCACCCTTTGTATGTCTTTGTTATCTTCATGATTGTTTAATAGAATTAAACACAGTCATAGTATCACTTCATGGTGACAATGACTGATAGGTTTGTTGCTTTAATGTAAATGCAGTTGATGGGATGTGTGAATGTGGTCTAACAGAATTTATAATGGAGTCCAGTCCAAATGGCATAAAGTCAGATGATGGGAGGCTCTAAACACCCTCACTTTAAAAGGTGCTATATGTAAGTTTTGATGCTCGACTCACAACATTGCTTCAATACTGGTCAGTAAACAGCTGTTAATGCTAAAGTTAGCTATGTAGTGATAACAAAACCTTATGTTTAGCACTTGAGCTTTTGAAAATTAAAGTCTAGAATCTAGAAATGGTTGTGAGATAATATCAGTTATATAAGTATCAGTAGATGTCAGATAGACATCTAGAAACAATCACAAAACACAAATTACATAAAACTGAAAACACATTTAAAAAAAATATAAGAAAACACAGCATTTAAAATAAACACATATTTCACAAAATAATAAAAGAATTAAAATACCAAAATAATAATAATAAAATAAAAAAAAAAAAATATATATATATATATATATACACATATGAAAACAGAGTTTAAAAAATATAAGAAACATTTAAAAAAGAAAAACAATTTCACAAAAATATGAATACATTTTTGAAAAATTTTAAATGCAAAATTTCACCAAATATATGAAAACACATGATTTAAATATAAGAAACATTTCACAAAATATAAGAGAATATTTAAAAATAAGAAAGCAACATTTCACAAAATATATGAAAACACATTTTAAAGATATAAGAAAACAAAAAAAATTAACCACACAGCATTTAAAATAAGAAAAAAAAAAAAACATTTCACAAAACACAAACAGAAAACAAAACATTTTACCAAAAACACAAAAATACCAACAAATTAGTCCCAATTAGTTAAGCCTAACCCTAAGCATTTCCTTTCTACAATGTTGTGTTTCTGTTTGGTTGTATTTGTCTATGTTATGTTTTGCATGTCAGGGCCAAATATAAACATCAGCCAGTATTTCATAATCAGATTTTTCACTTCAACTCTTAAATATCAGTATTGTTTTCAACCTAAACAATCCAGTATCAATGTGACTCTATAACTGCCTCACCGATCCTAACATATTTAACATGTGATAAACTCCTCCCTCCAGTCTTTGCCTGTCTTGGGTTCCTCTCTCCGGCAAACCGTGGGGCTCTGATGACATGTGCTGTTGTTCTCTGGGTTCTTTTGGGAACCCCTGCTGGATATGTGGCTGCCCGCCTCTACAAATGTAAGAGAGAGACAAAACGGAAATATATAAAGATTATTTTCATAGTCCAGTCTTGTGTTTATTATTATTATTATTATTATTATTATTATTATTATTATTATTATTATTATTATTATTCTGACAGTTAATTGAGTAATCACATAATACTTTTTTTAATCTTTTAATATGATGAATGATGAATTTTCCTTGGGTAAAAGCAAAACATAAATTTTATGAATATTATTTACATTTTCCACAGTAATAGAAGTAATGAAATATGCTGAGTACATTCATGCTCAACTTTAAACTCATAAAAACTGCAGCCTGTACAGGGGCTGTGGACATTAAGTCCAGTTTGTTTTCTGGTTTCTTAAAATACTTTTTATCTCATTCTTTGGTTAATTTCCAGCATTTGGAGGAGAGAAGTGGAAGACCAATGTTTTGCTGACAGCCTTCCTCTGTCCTGGGTAAGACTGTTAAAGTTTGCTCAAATAATGAACATAACTAATTCACTCCCTCATCTAAAATCCCTGCTGTCTCTGCTTAGGGTGGTGTTTGCAGATTTCTTTGTAATGAACCTGATTCTGTGGGGTGAAGGGTCCTCAGCAGCCATGCCCTTTGGGACCCTGGTAGCCATATTGGCTCTTTGGTTCTGTATCTCAGTGCCACTTACCTTTATAGGAGCATACTTTGGCTTCAAGAAAGCAGTAAGTAAATTTAAACACACATACTGTACCTCCATTCATGCCCAGTACACTCCAGCTTGTTGAAATTTCATGTCAGTGGTGGTTTGCAGAAAGAGTATGTTACTACAGTGTCATCAGTGAAGAACAGTAAGTACTCAAGTAACAATGAGAAAAACAATAGTACAACAGTACTTTAATCCTTTTATAATCTATAGTCATCTAGTTCACATTTAAGAAAACTTGTCTTTTTTGACTGATTATTTCAGGCTGTACCTATCTGAAAGTTTGATCCTCTGTCTGCTGTGACTCTTTAAGGGTATTGAGCATCCAGTACGGACCAATCAGATTCCTCGTCAAATCCCAGAGCAGTCATTCTACACAAAGCCTTTCCCTGGGATCGTCATGGGAGGAATTCTGCCCTTTGGATGTATATTCATTCAGCTGTTCTTCATATTAAACTCCATCTGGTGAGAATGAATCAAGTTAGAATTAAGTCTGGAAAGCTGATAATCAACTGTGTTGTGTTTTTAAATTGTGACCTCTCAAAAATCTTAATTCCTGAAACACATTAATAGGTATTAAAACAAGCGGCATGGGCTATTTCTCATCGAATCAGAAACTGAATTTGATATTAAATAATGAATATGAAAGAACAGAAGTTTGGCATTTTTGTAAAATGCTTTAAAAGTTCATGTCATACTGTTTTTCTCAGCAGAAACATTACACACCACCCACACTGTTTAGATTCTAGTCGAATACTACAGATATATTTTATTTTGTCACTTAGAATTTACCCAGATTGATTCAATGGGATGGTAATTCTTATTAACATGTCTCCTCCTTTACTCCAGGTCCCATCAGATGTACTACATGTTTGGCTTCCTTTTCCTGGTCTTCATCATCCTGGTCATCACCTGCTCAGAGGCCACCATCCTGCTCTGCTACTTCCACTTGTGTGCTGAGGTAAACAGTGATCATGCAGTACCTGTAACATTAAGACACCTCTAGATCCTAACACCTTTAGCCACTTTCCTGTGACTGGAGCTTTTGGCCAGAGTCAGATGTTTGAACCCTGAACCAAAACATCCTCCAATTGGTGAGCCGGTAGTGATGGCCAGTCACTGCCTATCTTCTGCTGGCTTCCAGCTCAACTCCTCCCTGTCCCACACCCAACCAGAGGCTCTTTGCACTGCCTTCCCAATCTGTGAGCAGATATCTTCCTCTCCCTTCCCTCTATTCTAAGAGGTGTGAGCATCTTCCACACAGACAGCACCTGGAAACCAGCCAGGCCTGCCACTCTTTGTCCCTGCCTTGTTGGACCAGGTTCTAGTAATCCTTCTCTGAGGCCTCTTCACAGACATCTTGCCACAGGACTGTTGGTTCAGTTGGATTGATCCTATTTGCATCCTCAGACCACATGGCTGTGTCAGGCCTCAGGGATTTTTGGACAACCCGGGGGAGAGTGTAGTTTTCTTCGCAGGTCAACCCTCATCTCCAGCAGCCAGGGGCTCTTCTTGGTCTTCTTGGAGGAGGATGGCTTCTTCCCCTCCCTGATGAACTGGTTAGATGGGACGGTCTCATGTGGGACTGACACTTTTTAAGTCTCTCCTGCTCCAAGATATCAGCCACTGCTCTCAAGACCTTGCCATCAGAGCATCTTTATCTCCCCTGGCTAAGTGTAGCCCTGCAACCTGCCAGTATGTGCACCATTTTTCTTCCTACGAGTGTGACACTTCTGCTTGGATTGTGTCTCTGGTCTGCTTTCCTCCATGGCTGGAAGTGGGAGTTTCCATGTCCTAGTCTCCCCATGGGTTCCCAATGATGTCCTTCAACATGCTTTCTGCCTGTGCCACCAATGTTTTAGCTGCTCACTTCTCCTGATTTTGTGGTGACGCTTTCACCTTTGGCATTTTCATTGGCCTTGTCTCTGTATATCATCTCAACCTCTTGCCACCTTGAACTCTTGGACCACTGATGATAGGGGTAGCTGTAACTGTCCAGACCAGGGCCCATATTCGCAGAGCATCTTAAGGTTAAAAGGAACTCCTATCTTGCCGATTTAGGAAGTTGAGATTAATTGGACTCCTAAACCTTTTTGACTAAGAGTAATTCACAAAGCCATTTAGCACTAAAAGTAGCAGCTAAGTCAGTCAGAGAAAAGTTCAAAGTAGTGGAGAGGACTCCTCACTGAACTCAGAACTCAACTGAGACCACATCACAAAGAATAATCAAATGTTCTGCCACAGGGTCGAGCTCAACAGCGTCATCATCGCAGTTTTTTGTATTTCAAATGTATTTCATTTTTTGGTTTTTGCTGGTAAAAGTTACAGGAGTACATGTGGTGTGTGAAATATTAACACCATTACGTTCCCCGATGAGGAATGAGGAAGTGGGGATGAGGGAAAGTAACAAAGTAACTTAGCAATATAACCCAGTTAGCCTTTTACCCTCGCTACAAAGGTATGCCACATGAAAGAAATAAACACCATTTACCAAAGCATCTTAGTTAATTAAATGTTATTGGAACCAAAGCACAGTCGAAACGATCAAAGCACTCAAATAAGAGTATAGTCTACTTCAGTCTTTCTTTCACACTTCCAAATCATATCTTTTTTTTTGTTATTTTTTCTCTTTTTTTTACCCAATTATATAGGTTAATCCAAACAATATATATATCCCATATCCATATAAGAAACAAATAAATCACATTTAAATACAGTTCCTAAGTTAAATCAAAAGTCCTTTAAATAGTTTTTGGTATAGTGAGTATTGTGAGTTGTGTATTAATGAGTGTGAATGGGTTAAATTCAGTTCAGTTCAGTTCAGTTCAATGTGTGTGCGTGGTTTGGGCCTGGATGGTTGTCCAAAAAGGCAGGGAAAGGGGCAGTGGAGTAGGTTCAGTTTGGTTAAGGGGGTTTTGAGGGTTAAAGAGGGGAGAGAGTAGGGGAAGCCAGTAGAGTTACAGGCAAGAAGACTTAGCACTTAGCTTCTCTTTCTTGAGATCCAACCCAGGCAGGGCACAGCTACCGAGCATATCCAAGGGAAGACAGACAAACTCTCCTCCTTGACATACTCTGGAACAGCACACTTCCTCTGTCCAGGATTGTTTAGGGTGTACTTTTATGTAGTTCCTTATTTTCACAGGTGTGTCTCATTTATCTCCTCTCCTACCTACCCCTCTTCCCTTTCCTTTCCTTCTGGGAGGTAATGGGCTAGGCTGCTCTTAGTTTTCTTTTTATGCCGTTTCTGCCACAATATCTAGTGCAAGAGAGAGAGAGCAACAACACCAGACAACACCAAACCAAAGTATTAGGGTCGTAACAAACACAATAATCATTGTTTAGTTATCACTGACTGTTTTCCATCAGGGTCCAATGTAGTGTAGTGTTTTGTGCAAGCCAAGTCCCAACACTTGCTCACACAGCACAGGCTCACAGAGAGGACCAGCTTGGTGAACTTCTGACCTACCTGTGAAGGTTTGTGTTCTCTTGTTTTTCCACTGATGTAATGGGCTCTTTGTAAATTGTCAGTAGTATTGTCATCATTGTACTACTTCCCTTGATATTTTATTGGGTTCTCCTCAGTTGATGGTTTAACCGTCCTGTGGACCTGGACCTCAGACTTGCTGGTCTTTTTCCCCTCTCTGATCACCATGCTTCTTGACCTGTTGCCAGGTCATCAAGTGCCTTAAAATTAACCAGTTTTATGCATAAAAGTACTGTAATGGGAAAATAATTGTTCCCATGAAGTCGGCAGGTGTTCAACAGTACGACTGTGGACTCCACAGTATCCGTACTTCAATGTAGGGTGATACTGAAATGATTTATGATTGATGATTTCCTCAGGGAAAACTGGGTGGTCATTCATGACTCAGGCCACTCACTCTTTTAAACCTTACATTCAAGGGCCTTAATTAACAAGCTTGTGATTCTTCCAGTCATCTCACCTCTGCCTGTATCTCCTCTTCCTTCTCTTCACAGGACTACCATTGGCAGTGGCGCTCTTTCCTGACAAGCGGCTTCACTGCTGTCTATTTCCTGGTCTACGCCATTCATTACTTCTTCTCTAAGCTGCAAATCACTGGTCTGGCCAGCACCATCCTGTACTTTGGATACACCATGATCATGGCTCTCATCTTTTTCTTATTCACTGGTAGGTAAATAGTAATGAGGATGAGGGTTGGTGTTGTTTCTGTGTCTGTCTCATGCACATTGCTCCAGAACTGATCTTTGGAAAGATTTCAGTTCAGAGTGAAATCTTCTGCGAGGATTTAATAATATTGATTATTGATGGCATTTTAAATCATTGGTGTCCTTGATGATACAAACAGTATCTGATGGCAGTGCTGTCTGCACTGTAGTGACTCCTGCTATTGGTCACTACAGTGAAAGATGAAAAGTAAAGATAAAATTGACTGATACTATTATTTATAATATTGTCATCATGAATAATATACAATATACAGTACATTATGCAGATTTTTTTTACTGCAGTTCTAATTGATTTTCTCTGTCCTCAGGTACAATCGGCTTCTTTGCCTGTTTCTGGTTTGTTACCAAGATTTATAGTGTGGTCAAAGTGGACTGAAGGATCCAAAAACACAACAGACTATTTCTGGCTGGATGTTGCTTTGTCCCATCAAACTTTGAAACATTCAGCACTCAAACTGAACTTATTCACCTCCTCGTTTGATTTCTTCAGAGTTGACTCTGCCTCAGACAAATGATAGTTTGCTTTGTGTGCCTAAACTGTTTGTGTGTAATTGTGTCTGAGCATGTATACACTGGGGTATAATTTTTTACATACAGTATCTATCTGCATATAATCTGAATGAAATGAATCACACCTCTACAAGCCTCCTCTCCGTTTCTGACATAGAAGTGAGCCACAACTGGACTGTCCAGTGGTTCTGTCATGCATTTTAGGTGCATTTTAGTTTTTATGGTCCCTGCACTTTGTTTGCAGATGTAGTCAGACAAATAAAATTGTAGTGGTCTGCCTCTTAACAGCTAGTTACTACTAGTGGTGTTAAAATTAAATGTGCCCCTGGTACTATTTTAAATGATATTTTCATGGTTTGTGTGCAACACATCTTTGAAGGAAACTCTACTAATCTGTAATCTGTGTCAAATTTTACATTGTGTCCCAAAATCTATCTATGTTCACATTTCAACTGTCAAAATGGGTCAGTACGCTTGTTCCATTCCTGAGGCTCCTTCTAGTGTAGCCTACTTTCTTTAAATTTGGTCACGAGTGCTTTGTAGTCCCGTGTCCTCAAATGATAGTGGAACAGTTTTAATTTCTGTGAGCTGCTGGACTATAACTGATTGATCCTCGACTAAGCATTTGTGGAGAGGTGTAGGTTCAGCCACCCGGCCTTCAGTTCTATGAAAACACTTTACAAAGGCTACATCCCAGTTACAATATGACAGCTTCCATTATGCAGGTGTGTTTGGTCTGTGCTGTCAGCAAGAAATGATGCAATGCTTTGTTACACAGCAGTGTGTGTTTGTTTGTCCAGACTTTGTAGGTTTCAGGTCATTCCAAGCTTCAGACTCATGGCAGCTGTAATTCTTTAAGTCTGACCAATTTCACCAGCAGGTAGCAGTTAGATACCCATTTAACTTTTGTTATGGGCAGTAAACATCAGTATCATGTTTGCTTAGCTTTTTACAAAGACTGCAAAAATACACACACTAACTCATTTCACCTGTTTCGCTCATCAGATAGAAATTAAGAAACTGTAGAATTGATAGAATTTATTAAACAAGTCTCTGGAGCCAAGCAGCCTCCCTGTTCTGTAACATTTCTCTGAGGTCACATTTTCAAAACTCCACAGAGTTCTCTTCAACCTTCATCTTAACAGATAATCTCATCGGCGATGCTCTAATGCAACAACACACAGCTCAGGGTTGACTGGTACCAGAACACTGATCTAAAACATACTAACATTATGTGTCACTGTTGTTTTAAGTAGTTTTTATTTATTTGTGAATTTGGTATAAACCAAGATTCCATTGCAACAAAAATAAGTGGCACTGGTTGATTGCATGGACAGTGTATGTGTAACAGAAATGAATCAAAAATGCTGCAACATGCTTCAGTTGGCTTTATTTTATTAAACTGAAGCCTTTTCAGTAACATAATACAAAACCAATGTATATTCATTTTAGGAGAAAGATGTAGATGTAAAGTAGTACTAGTGAACACAACTTTTCAAACATTTCATCTAGATTACACCTTAACTCCTTGTCCTCTCCTGCCCCCTCGGGCATGCTGGAGCTGATCTTTCATAGAGGTTGCCCATGAATGGAATGTATTTTTAATTTTTAGATGTAGCAGAATTTTGTCTTTTATTTTCAGTATTTACAGGACTTTTGTGTTAATTTTTGATCATTTTTCAAATAGCATGTAAACAGAGTTTGGATGGTGGCAGTTTGAGAAAACAGTTCATGAAATTTGAAAAATGTTGATTGAATTGAGGGCATGTTCTGTTTAACGTCCATATGTTGTTTGATTATAAAGCAGGTCTAGGTTCTATATTAATACTGTGAAAGTATCAAAGTGCGCAGTCCACAGAGAAATGCACACAGCCTGTATTCAGAAACAGCCTTAAAACCAGCTGTTAGGACTTCTGTAACTCTGATGTCACATCAAAACAGTCACCACCCTCAACCATGCCCCAAGCACCCTGGACCCACCATCCAACCATGCAGGATTTGGTTTGTCTGAGTGTTTACCTGAAATCTGCTATATTTATGCTCCTTCTTAGCCACTGCGTTCTTCAAAGGAGTGTGGTCTATCATCACCATCCCTGTACACAAGACAGTCTCAGTCCAGACTGTTCTGGTCTGTGGTTCTATAATGGTGAAACAAGTTACCAAAGTCTATCAGAGCAGGGGTGTCCCTTTCTATCATTAAGAATCTGTTTAAGACTCATCCTTTCAGAGAACACCTCCTCTCCAAATACCCCTAACATGTCTAACTATCGCTTACTATGAACTTTAACACTTCTTAACCTGATCTCCTTCACTTATTAAATAGATGTAGTACTTACTTACTTACTTACTGTTCATGCCAGAAGGCATTTCTCTCAGACTGTCAACAAGCAATTCTGCTCCTTTCTTAATCACACATAGAGCTGATCTTTATAATAACATCATGGATTTACATCCTAACATAGCTTTTTTGTTTGGTCGTTGCTTCTTTAAAAGGACCATCGCCATCACCATTGTGAGGAGGGGCTTCTCTCTCCGCGTGTCTGCTCCTGTGTCTCCCTCTTTTGTAGACTCTCAGATTTATTTACTCATTAATCCAAGGTGCCGTTCCTGATTGTTGCGGTACACTTTAACCCCTGTGTACTTGTATAAAATGTGTAAAGAGTTTTACTCCACAAAAAAATTGATAAACAAAAACTCAACAAACCTTACCTGGGACTCCAGACTGTCCATGCTTCCTGTGCCCAGCTCTGATCTGTTCCTTTTCCTAATGACACCTTTATGTTAAAGGTTAATTTCTTTGTTGTGAAGATTTCATCAAATGGTGGTTAATATTACTGGGGGATTACTGGCCATTTACTGCACTGGAGAACAATGTGCAGCATGTAAATTTTCCTTTTCTCTGAGCCACAACCACTCGTAGCAGGCAGGTGTGTGTGTGTGTGAGGGAGGTTTTATTATAGAATAATCATGGGGCTGGGGGGGCATGTCCCTCACCCTAACCCAACCTTCCAATTACTGGCCGACTCACCACCTGTATGTGTAGCAGTAGAGACAGCTACACATTCTTTGTTGCAGGGGGCAAACCGGCCCTTCGATGTCAGTTTTGGATTTTGGGAAGTTCTGGGTTTTGCTCTCTGTTGCCATGGAGGAGGAAGTGCAGTAGTGAGGTCTCCATTGTAGGCACCAGTGCTACTGCTACAAAGTCCACAAATAAGAGGCATGCAATTAAAAACCATCCTGAGAAGACGAGATCCTGAGATGGTCCTCGTCTGAGGTGAATCCAAACCATGGCAGGAAAATCCACCCGACCTGCTCACTGTTACAGTTTTGACTCAGTCAAGTTTGTAAACGAAAACTGGTCACTGTTTGTCCACCTCCCATTGGTCACATCAACACCATGTGCTGTTAGTCATACGGTGTCATCTCTATTCTTACTTTAACGGTCTGACTACACAACTAAAAACAACAGTCAGATAAACTAAAGGTGGAAAAGAAGGAGCACTTTATTAGTTGTATGTAGAGTGTCTTTTAGTGTCAGTTCAACCATTACATATTTGCACCTTGAGTGGTATTGAGCTACACAAACTGTTCCATTCCAGTACAGCAGAGCTGAATAGACTCTTTTTGGTACTCTAATCTATGAAAAAATACATCTGAAAACTCAGCAGCGGCTTATAAACCAAAGGTCCATGTTCTTCCATTATACTGGAATGGCAGCAAATATCTCAAAACTTTGGCAGGTAATCCAAAAGGCCAGACAGCACAGGGGTAAAGTGAAAAAATGTTTTGTTTAGTGGGTGAACTGACCCTTTAACAAAAACTAACAATCAGGTCTAGAAAACACACAAAATGAAAGAGTCTGCTGATACAGCTTGGCTTTGAGTCACCATCACGGAAACTAAACTGGTGGGGGCTGCTGTGGAGACTGACCACTGGCAAAACAAATCAAGCTTCTGTCTAGTCTGTTTGCCAACGTGGATCTTCGTCTGTGGACTCAGAGGAGTAAGGCTCGTCCTGGTGCTGATGTGACATGTCAAAGGTTCTGTTTTATTCAAGCTCTACCAGCAGGTCTCCCTCTCCCACCGTCTCCCCTGGCTTACAGTGGACACTCTTGACCTGGAAAGACACATGTAACCCACAATAAATTGGCATAAATAATTACAAATAATTCATTAAAATGCTTAAATAAATTAGTTAGAATTGTGTGCATTTCATTGAATAAAAGCAATTAAAAAATATCTGATAGTAATTTAATGTGTACAATTAAAAGTATGCGTATATAAAAGTTGTAATGACATTTCCCCTTTAAGAGACTTGGTGCCCTGTTCTCTTGTGGACATAATGTAAGCTCAGAAAACACAGATAGAGACACATACACATGACAAACAAGATGGCGAGCCAAACTTGCGGACTACGTTCCTAAAGATAAGGATTCATCATCGCACCAGTAAGAAGACACACTGCGTGAAAGACTGTAACTGCTAGATACAAGTTACAACAATCCCAAACTCATTTTACGAGCAGAACCTGTCACACTTACCTATTGAGCCTCTGAACAACTTAAAGTAGAAGCTGCTAATAGTCAAGATGTGTATTGAAGTAGATATCACATTCCCTAAGAGCTTCCTTGGGTTGGAAATTGAAATGCCTACCTCAGCCTTGATTGACAAGGCTTGACATGCGCTCAACCTTGTCCTCAGTTTTAATAGGCACCAACACTCTAAGTATCGTTTATGAGCAGTACTCAAACGCTACACCTCAGGACTCCCAGTCATTTCCCTATGTGTGGTCTTTAAAACTCTTGAAATAAGACAGACAGGAAGCAGACTCCAGTCTTGGAGTCATGAGACTGTTCAGCAAAGACCTCAAGATTATCGGCCCTTGTCAAACCAAATTTGTGGAAGGATCAGAGCATCACATGGAAGCTGGATAATGGTTGAACCACCAAAAACCTCTTCCCTACCAGGTGGCATAATGGTCACAAATGGCCCAGCAAGCCTTCAACCCAAACTGCCTCCCTGCATACATCCTCAAGAATGAATCAGACCATGATATCACTATCTCTCCAAAGAATGTGATAGCTGAAGTGAACTCTATTCAAAGTGTTAAGTCTGTCACCACTGGCAGCTCTGACACACCAACCAAACCCGACCAAAAACCAAAGAACAACTTTAACTTTGGAGACTCTTCAATAGCCAATGAATGGAAAGAACGGATAACTGAAAAACTGAACCCCATGCCAGATGTGTTCGCACAGCATGACCTTGAATTTGGGTGCACTGACAAAATAAAATGTCACATAAAGCTCAGTGATGAAACACCATTCAAGCAAAGTGAGACCTATGCATCCACAGGACATTGATGCTTTAAGTAAGAATCTTCAGAAATTATCCGTGAGTCAGAGTCTCCCTTCTCCTCACTGACTGTAGTCATCAGATAGAAGAACGGTGGCGTCAGACTCTGAGCTTTCTGTAGTACACGCAACCTCCAAACGGTGAAGGATTTATATGCCTTACCAAACTTAGAGGAGTCTTTCTCAGCTTTGAACAGATCCAAATGGTTTTCTGTACTGGATCTGAAGTCTGGCTTCTACCAGATTGAGATGGAGGAGTCAGATAAAAACAAAACTGGATTTGTCTGTCTTGGGTTCTTCAAGTTTAATAGGATGCCACACGGGGTCACCAACACCCCTAGCACATTCCAAAGACTTATGGAGCATTGCATGGGAGAGCTAAATCTGAAAGAAGCTTTGTTTTCATCAACGATTTGATAGTTTTCTCCGCACCACTGGAAGAATACGAGGAAAGGCTGCTAAATGTGCGCAGCAGATTGAGGAAGTACGGCCTGAAACTGTCTCCTGACATATGTAAGTTCTTTCGGACATCTGTCAAATACCTAGGCCACACTGTGTCTGAAAGAGGCTTAGAAACAGACCCTGAAAACCTGGACAATCTGAAAGATCTAAGAACCTTCCAGGGATTCTGTGGTTATTACTGCCAATTCATAAAAGACTACTCAAAGATTGTCAAAACTCTCTATGCACTCATTGCTGGATACCCGCCACTGCAGCAACACAGCAACGCCAAAGTAAATAGTGAAATACCACAATCCTCTTTGGTCGCAGATGGACAGCCGAATGCCAAGTCGCATTTGAAACCGTCATTGAAAAGTTGACAACTGCCCCTGTTCTTGGGTTCACTGACCCGAAGTTACCCTACATCCTACACACAGATGCAAGCACAGTGGGTTTAGGCGCTGCCCTGTATCAGGAACAGCAAGGACAGAGATGTGTCATCGCTTACACAAGCCGCAGCTTATCACAGTGTGAGGCCAGACACCCGGCTCACAAATTGGAATTCCTTGCCCTTAAATGGGCAGTAACAGAAGTTCCTTGCTGTCACCAACAGCAACCAACTGATCCATCCTCACCTCTGCTAGGCTTGATGCTACAAGCTACAGAAGGCTGCAATACAGATCAGGAAAGCAAAACCAGGACTCAGACCAACTGTCCAGAAGTCCAAACAGTGGAATAACAAACAGGTACAGTAACATTCATTCAGTTTAGATTTGGAAACTTATTTCACCTGTGAGGGGAAGAAAAAGAGTTAACTCAAAAAACAGAACCAATATAGGTATAGCTTAGTAACCTAAAAGCAAGATAACCACTTATAGACCGGTCTAATAATCGAAAACTAAATTTGAAATTCTAAAATAAAGAATTTAAACAAACCATCCAATGTTGGTGTATTATCTGAACTAAACTATTCCTAACCTTGGTAAAAGAACTTAAAGGAGGAAAAGTGAGTTTGATTTAAATTTTCATTACCTGCAGGACTATTCATTAGATTGAGTAAATTGTTATATTTGTATGTTTTGTCTCTGTTTAAGTGCAGGCTTTTGTATTTAAAGTCCCTGGTCCAATTCTATGCTGTCAAACCCATTCTAGTCAAACCTAACACTTGTCCAGTAGCTTTATTAGTGTCATATTTCTTCATATGAATGACACACCACCCACCCACAGAAAACACCTGGTAAACGTGTTTACACTTAATGAATCTGACAGAACATGAACAACATGCTCCATTATTTTACTTGTTTCAGTTTAATGTGTCTTATCTGTCTCCAACATTAATTTTCAAGTAGCTAGAAACAGCTGCACCAACCAATGTTCTGTTTCGTTATATTCATTAATAAGGGTACACAGATCTCGCAGGGTTAGGGTTAGTGACTGATGATGACAGTGGTCAGTATTTCATACTGGTACCTTTGCTTGTTTGACAGCAGTCAAACTGTTCTGCATCTTCATGGCTTCAATCACACAGATCTCCTGACCTTCTGCAACCTACAACCACATACAAACGACCAGAGGGTAAGAACAAGTGTTAAAGTTCACCTATAATGTTTGCAGCTTTTCTGTCAGCACAAGAAAAGGTCTGTGTGTTAGTGTATTGTAGGTCTATGTATGAGTGTATTGTAGGTATGTGTGTCTGAGTGTATTGTAGGTCTATGTGTGTTAGTGTAATTTAGGTCTATGTGTGAGTGTATTGTAGGTCTATATGTGAGTGTGTTGTAGGTCTATGTGTGTGAGTGTGTTCTAAGTGTGTGTGTGTGTGTGTGTGTGAGAGTGTGTTGTAGGTCCATGTGTGTGAGTGTGTTGTAGGTCCGTGTGTGTGAATGTGTTGTAGGTCCATGTGTGTGAGTGTGTTGTAGGTCTTTGTGTGAGAGTTTGTTGTAGGTCTGTGTGTGAGTGTGTTGTAGGTCTGTGTGTGAGTGTGTTGTAGGTCTATGTGTTAGTGTGTTGTAGGCCTGTGCGTGTGAGTGTGTTGTAGGCCTGTGTGTGAGTATGTTGTGTTACCGTGTCTCCAGGCTTGACGGACACAGCCACCACCGTGCCTGGCATTGGTGAACGCAGAATACTGCTTGTGTCTTCTGGGACTTTCTCTGGCATGTAGGAGTTCAACTGTGCAGCTAACTTAGACAGAACATGAACCTGAAACTACATGAAAATACAGAGTGTGAGAAACACGGGAAGGGGGTGTTTTTTCCTGAAATATGATTAAAACAGAGGAACACTGTCTCTCTTAAAGGGGAACTCTACTTTTACACAGTGCATTTACAGGTGTTGGAGAGTAAGAAAGTGAACAGTAGAGCCAAGTGTCACCTGAGTCAGTCTGGTTTGGGTCTGAAGAACACCTTGAGTTATGAAGAAGTGAAGTCTGCTGAAGGTTAGAGGAGCTGCTACTCATTCTAATTTTTAACTTTCAGTCATAGGAGCTCGAATGAACTAAAACAGATGGATTGTCTGGACCAGGTGTGTGGACCAGCCTTCTGGATTGTGAACACTGAAAAAAGCTGCCAGTCTCTTTAAGAGAACACTTATTTCGAAATTCAGTTCTTATATAAAATTGAAAGCCTGAACCTTTTTCAGAATTCAGAAAACAGTAAGAAATCTTAATACAGTAGGGATGACAGCTGTTGTATGTACTGTATACCATCATCTCTGTTCGACCCTGTGATCCATTGACCTCCTGTGACTGTGTTAGAGCTAACACTACACTACAGCTTAGATGTAACATGTGTGATGATGATGATGAATGGTGTGTTCCGTGGTGTAGTGTGTGTGTGTGTGTGTGCGCGCGCAGACATACTGATGTGCCGAGGTACTGCAGGACGATCTTTCCTGAAGCACCTCTGGACAGACACTAAAACAAAAAGGACAAATATCATCTACATCTGCAGGCTGTAACTGACCTCTCTCTTCAGTATGAGGTAATAACAACCTGAACCTGTGTGTGTGCTGTGTGTGTGTGTGTTTGTGTTACCTGTAGCATCCTGTGTGTGCCGTTGATGGTGAGTGGCAGCAGTGTGGAGGCCAGGTTCCACTGTCCACTGACTTCCACCTTTCCACCATCAACCTCCACCTGTAAACAGATGACTCTTCAGCAGAGGCTCAGAGACAGTGACATGCTGGTGTCAGTCTACATAGGGACTATAGCCACATAACTTATCTCTTCTTTATCTTAGACTTTGATTTACAGCTGTTATTTACATCACAGCTGTAATTTTCTTTTCTCCTCTTTCCAGTAGAACAGGGTCTTATGTGTCATGGTCACTCTGTTTTCAATCACTCTTCACTGTTTAATTTATATGTAGATCAATATATTACATTTTCTCATGGATGCACTTTAGATACTCACAGTGTAAACATTTCCTGATTTAGTAACCTCCACAGCATGGTGTCCCTCCCCCAGCTCCACACACAGCTCCCAGTGGTTCTCTTTCACAGGGGTGGAGGACACTCTGCAACACACACAGGCCAAAGAATCAGAGCTGCTTCTTCTGCAGTAATAACACTATGTAGAAGTAATCAAACAGCTACTCCTGTTCACCTGTGTCACCTACATGCTCTGAACTGTGTTACCACGTTTGTAATGTAGCACACTCCTGTCCTTTGTTAGTATTCTCTCATTCAAATCAACTTGTGCACACTGTGTGTTTAATATTTAAGATACACACACAAATTATTAATCTACATCTTGTGTGTCGAGCCATGTAAAAATTGGTTGGACAAATACAACTTTCTGCTTTACAATAAATAAACAATAATAATTAAATTAAAGTTAGAGTTTGGCAGTAGGATCAAAGATCCCCCTGAACTTCTCTGTTCTGCAGCGCAGAGAGATGAGACATTTGCTACTGTAGCTGCTTCTCTGTCCTGCCAGAATTTTGTGGAGAGGGTGGTTGGTATTGTCTAATATGGCCTCCGCCTTACATTGCATGCGTCTCTCCACAACAGTCCTGAGTGAGTCCAGACTCCTGCCAAGCACAGACCCAACCTTTTTGACCAGCTTGTCCAGTCTCCTGTTCATGTCTGAAATGCTGCTGCTCCAGCAGACTGCAGCATAGAAAAGTACACTCGTAACTACTGACTGATAAAACATGTGCAACATTTCACTGCAGACGTGTAAGGACCTGAGCCAGCTCTGCCCCTTCTGGTAGATGGCATCCATGTTCAGGGACCAGTCCAGTGTACTGTCCTGGTGCACACCTAGGTATTTATAAGTGTGCACCACCTCAATGTCTTTCCCTTTTATGTTGACAGGGTGAAAGGTGGGCTTAGACCTCCGAAAGTCGATGACCATCTCCTTGGTCTTGGAGATGTTCAGAAAGAGGCAGTTCTTGTCGCTTCATTCACTGAAGGCCATTGTCAGATCCCTGCACTCGATTAGGATTAAAGTAGCGCAGCTTATACATATTAAGCTTAAACCAGGGGCTAGGTAGCAGTGTAGCAGCATGTGCCTCTGAAGAAGCATGCTAGAAGGAATCAAGCCCACAATTCAGGGCTTGATGGAGGTGGGGGTTTTGGCAAAAACAAAAAGCCCCTGCAATACTCCCATTTTTCCAATCAAGAAGCCACACTCTCATTGCAGTACTAACATACAGGACATAAATTCAACAAAGAGAAACTTCAGTTTTGCCAAAAAGAAGTTGAATAACTGAATAAGAGGTTAATTGCTCCCTCACAGTTAGAAGCTATTGCTAAAGATCCAAAACCACAAACAGTGGGACAAATGCTCTCTTTTCAGGGGATGGTGGGGTTCAGTCATCCGTGGCTTTGTGACTATGCTATCAAAACAGCGCCTCTGCTAGCCCTAATACGGGCAGCAGGACAAACAAACAACTCAGCCCAGCTATAGTGGACAGAGGAAGCAAAAGGTGCCTTCCATGCACTAAAAGGAGACCTGCAATCTGCCCCAGCACTGGGAAACCCTGACTATTCCAAGCCATTACACATTCATATGTTGCAGAAAAATCTGGATATGCAAGTGCAGTATTGTTGCAAGATACACCAACATGTAAACAGCCATTAGCCTACTACAGCACCAAATTGGATAAGATTGAATCAGGCTGGCTACCCTGTTATCAGGGACTGGCAGCAGCAGCCTTTGCTTTTCAAAAGGCCTCAGCGTTAACCATGGGACACAAGGCCTTGCTCATGAACCCGCAGTTCTTTCTAACTCAAGCTAGAAGAACAGCTGAAAGTTATACTTTCGGCATCTGAACTCACCATCCAAAGATGCAATACAGTGAATCCTGCAACCAGGATGGTGTTGCCTGTGGATGGCACGCCGCACGACTGTGTCCAAACAACACTTTCATGCAAGCATGTGATGATCTGTATAATCAACCAATCACAGCGGATCTCACATTGTTTGTAGATGGCTCCTGTTAGCTACAGGAAACCATGCTGGTTATGCCATCATACAATTAGATATGGATAACATCTTTACAGAAATTCAAGCATCCAAGGCTGCACAACCATGTTCTGCGCAACTTGCAGAAATCAAAGTTTAACAGCTGCATTTATGTTAGCATGAGGAAAGCGTCTTAATGTATACACAGACTCATCTTAAGCATATGTGTGTGTCACATACATGGAAACATTTGGACACAGAGAGGTTTTCTTAGAGCCGATGGCACCCCAGTAACACACGGGTAAGCTGTCTCTGCTCTGTTACACGCAATGCACCTCCCTACAGCTGTCGCTATCATTAAGTGTCCAGCCCATCGAAGGACAGACTCTTTAATTGCCAAGGACAATAATTTAGCAGATGAAGTTGCAAAATGTGCAGCAGTTAGCACAACTACAGGCCCATTGTTGGTAGCTGAAGATTGTGAACCTCTAACAACTCTATCTTCTCTAATACAGGCACAGGAGAGAGCTGATCTTTTGAGAAGTCGGTGTGGTTGAAAAAGGGGGCTATCAAGGTCACATGAGATGGTCCTCAAAAGGGTTTGTGGATAAGTTCTCATGGTCATTTTCTGTTGACTGTTTCGTTGTTGCATTTCGATATGAGAAATGCACATACTTCTTACCACTGCGCAAGGGGGGAGGTTATCAAATGCCTCCAAGCAGTTTGGTGGTCACCATCCTTGGCAGCCACAGTTGATAGAATATTGCATGAATGTGAAGTGGGTGCACATTATAACACAAGGATAGCTTTTTCGACACCACCAGATGGTCCATTTAGGCATTTAATGATAGATTATGTGGACATGATCACAAGAATAGGAAGAATGAGGTACATTTTGGTTGTGGTTGATAGATTTAGTAGATGGATTGAAGCAACACCAACGACGTGACCAGACTATAAATCAGATCAATCAAATCAAGTTGTTGTACAGAGAGGTTTTTCCACGGTTTGGTTTGCCAGATACTATTAGCTCAGACACCTGACCACATTTTGTAGCACACGCAATTAAGATAACATTAAAGATGCTAGGGATAAAGCAGACGTTTGGGTGTGTATACCATCCTCAGTAACAGGGAGCAGTAAAACGAGCTAATGGCACTTTAAAAGCAAAGTTGGCTAAAATAATGTCAGACAGCAACTGTAAACTGGATGGAGGCTTTACCACTGGGACTAATGTCTATGAGATCACAGACTAGATAGCAGACTTACACATCTAATACCTCATGAAAGTGCACAGGGAGATCAATGTCCGTCCCATACCTTAGAGGCCGTATGACCGTCCTCCACTTGAATAGTTAGAAAAAGAGTTAACCAGTTATGTACAACATCTAACGTATCCATAAAGTTATCTTCCAATAGATGAAAGGTGCCACAAAGGAGAGAGAAGCTGCCATTCCAGGCCAATTGCAGAGGATATGCCCAGGAAAGTGGGTATATGTAAAGGTGCTTAAAAGAAAGTGGGACCAACCCAGGCGTGAAGGCCCCTTTAAGGTCATCTTAGCCCCAACAGCCCTAAAGGTCGAAGATAAGTCATGGCAGAAGGCCCAGGATTCAGTTGGAAAAGCAACCAACTGCCTCAGGACACGCAGTTCCAGTCCAAGGAGGACCCACTGCAGGAACCTTTCCACCATTGACACCACCTCCACCAAAGCCTTTAACACTGTACCAGTTGCTCCGAGGTGTGATGGCAGTCCAACAGCCAAAACCACCACTTCCTACTGAGGAGACAGAGGAGAAATCATACTTTCCAAACACCCCTAATTCCAGTCATATGCCTCCATGGCCATGAGCAGCACCAATAGATTCTGCCCAAGAGCCCCAATCACCTGAGGAACCACTCCCACAACCTTTCACCAGCAACACTGCTGGAGATAACACTGCTGGAGATAACACTGCAAATGCTACTGCACCCAAGGAAGTTGGAGACCCAAACAAAGTGGTTGACATGATGCCGCAGGAGTTCGATCTTCTTAGCCATCGCCCAAGAGTAGGTCTTGACGTCACTGAGTCCTACCAACGCCTACGAGGAATTGGAATACGTCGCAACACTCAGCCACAGTGAATGTAATGAATGAATGCAATACACCAATCACCATGGACTATATAATCTCACGGACTTCCACAATTACATGCATGAACACACCACACTATAACAATAGATTACTGAGCACATAAAGAGTATTATGTTTGAAGAGCACATAAAGAGCACGATGCTTCTCTTTGGATCCAAAATAACCGTTTGTTGTGATGTGTACCAAGTCAGATACTGAATTGTAGACAATTTCAATAACAAGTTCAAGTGTCCAAGTTTGCTAAATGTGTTTAATTAGAAACAAGCTCACAATAGATTCTTCACAAGTGCCTCCAGTTCATCACCCTTATTAGCCAGGGAGTTGACATTTCCCATGAGGACTGATGGTAGAAAAGGCTTATATCTCCATCTCCTCGCCTTTAGCTTAGCCCCAGCTCTGTATCCACGTGGTACATTCAGCCATTCTATCAAGGTCATTGTCCTTGCTATTATCATTTTCCTGTGATTCCAACAGTACATTCTAATCTGTGCACTCAGCCAGCTTCTTCAGCTCAGCTAGTATGGGATGTTTAACTCCATATCTGGTAGACTTTAAAGCCAGGAGTTCTTCCATCATGTACGTTATTTTCTCCATCAGCAGACAAAACAACGTAGAATAAAAAACGTCAAACAACAAAAAATACACTAACATATCGCATAAAAAAAAACTACGAGCTAGGGTTAGCCCTAATATTCAAATATGAATTTGAATATGTTGATAATCAGAAAAAGTCTTTGCTTGTGATTGATTATGATCACATCAGGCTTGCTGCGTCCTCACCTCAGGTTACCCAGGATCCTCTGTGACCGGAGCTGTGCAGAGATGTAGAGAGCTGCTGCCGAGGCCAGCAGTTCCTGGCGTCTGTCTGCCTCCAGCTGGTGACCTTTGAACCCGTTTGGATAAACTTCTGGCAGGAAGTTGGTGCTGATGTCACCAGAGATGAAGCGAGGGTGGGTGATTATTTCCCTCAGGAGGGGAATGTTGTGGGTCACACCTGGAAAGAGGCACAAACCTCATTGCAAAAAAGAAAAACTTGTTTCTTATCTAATTTTCAGTGTAAAAATGTTTGGCGTACCTCTGATAACGTAGTTATCCAGCGCGTCCTCCATCCGGGCCAGGGCCTCAGCTCGCGTAGCTCCGTAGGTCACCAGCTACAACAGATACCAAAGGAAATGACTGCAGAAACACAAACTCTGTAATCTACCTATTGTTGTGACTATGTCTAAAAATATGAAACACACATTTACAGATCCACTGTATACTGACCTTAGAGATCATGGGGTCGTAATAGATGCTGATGTCACTGCCCTCCTGGATGCCGCTGTCCACACGGACCTGACAGAGTGAGGGATGGACAGGAAAAGGTTCAGGCCCTTAGTGTGAGGAGACCAGAAGATTCAGGTCCAGACTACAGAGTCTGAGGCTGACTCTCGTCTATGCAACAGTGAGCAGCAAGTGATGTAGACTGATGAGGTGAGTCTATGTTACAAACAAGTCATCCACAGAAGTTTTAATACTCATGTCACTCACACACATACACACATACACACACAAACTTACATTGCTGAGGTTGAGTGGCTCTTGGTATTGAGACAAACGTCCAATGGAGGGAAGACCAAAAGACTTGTAAGGATCCTGAGAGACGAGAACAAACTTCCAGTTTCACGCACAACAGTAACATCAGCAGAGGTTCAGATGTTTAAATTACTTTCATAAAAAACACCACTGTCTGATATGTATATATATATATATATATACATATATACACATATATATATACACATATATATATTAGGGCTGGGACGATTATCCGACGTAATCGACGTTGTCGATTATAAAAATTATTCGACGTGGAATTTTAGTGTTGACGCGTCGTGGACGTAATTGAAGTCATTGACTACGTGAATGATTTGCGTCTGTGTAATCTATTTGAACAACATGGCGGCGTCCACCAGCAGTACGACGGAGCGTGTGGAGCAACACGCAGCAAAAAAGGCTCGCACACGGTCCTCCAAAATTTGGGAATACTTTAATCTTGACACCAACAGTGCGGTAGTCTGCAGACTCTGCTATTAAATGACTAACCGGCTATGACTGACCGATATATAGATATAGATATATCTATATCTATATATATAAGATATATATCTATATCTATATATATATATAGATTCTATACTCTAATATCTATATCTAATATCTATAGATATTAGATATATCTATATATATATCTATATATATATATATATATATATGTATATATATATAGATATATCTATATATATATAAAACTTTCTTTCACTGTCAAGTGACAATGGTTGATCAATAACATTGTGTGTTCACTTCATCAGAGCAGCATCACATCATCATGTCTGGAGAGAAGAAGCGCCATCACAGTCAGTCAGCCATGAGGAAACAACCACCTCCACTAATTATGCTGTTTAAAGATATAAACTTTAACATAGTTAACTGAAGTCACATGATGATACATGAAAATATAAATAGATTCAGACATGTGGAAATTAACAGTTTATATGTTATGTCAAGGTTAAAAGGTAACTCATCATTTAGTCTTATGAATCAATCATTTTATCTGCAGATGAACAAACAAACAGGCTGAATGGATCATCAGTCAGTCTATTTTCAGCTGCTGCTGCTGTTGTTTCTTCACACTCAACGACAGAAAACCTGCTCGGTGTCACAGAGTAAACCTGATCTCTGTCACTGAGAGAAAACCTGCTCCCTGTCTGTCCATGAGGTCCTGACCTTCAGATACATAATGACTACATTTAACACAATATTTCATTATAACAGTCATACAGAGATTTGTTACAAATGTGCACACAGACACACACACACCTCAGCGTAGACACGACTCTCAATGGCCCAGCCATTTATTGGGATGTCTTCCTGTTTGTGCTGCAGTCTGTAGCCCCTAGCAACCTGTATCATCTGCTCCACCAGGTCCAGACCAGTGATGCACTCTGTGATTGGATGCTCCACCTGGGGTCACAGGTTAAAAAGATACTGGTTTCAGCACAACTCAAGGAACCCTTACTGGCCTTTTCCAGGTATTTCAGCAGAAACTTAAGGTCTTCATCAGCAGGTGAAGTTTGTTCAGTTGACAGTATGTGTCTGATTTCTTGCTGATGCTTTTATTTCTTTTCTGTTCCATCTATGAAGAACTAGTTTGTCTCATTTGATACAAATGAAATGTTCTCTTGTTCCTCAGTGGGTGTTTCCAAGGCCCCCCACCCCACCCACACACACACCTGCAGTCGTGTGTTCATCTCCAGGAAGTAGAAGTTCTTCTGAGAGTCCACCAGGAACTCCACAGTGCCAGCAGAGGAGTACTGCACAGCCTTGGCCAGCTGCACTGCCTGCTCTCCCATCGCCCGCCGTGTCTCTGGGTCCAGGAAAGTGCTGCAGACACAACACTACACATTCAGACTCACTCAGTGTTTCAAACGGAGTCAAATAGAAACAAATTCCACAAATTTAACAACAGCTTTTTTCTAAATACTACAAATTCCCAAATGTAAATTCTCTCTAGTGCCGATTATTGTAAATACAGTACACTAACTGAGCACCTTATTAGCACTTTACTTGTCCACCTGCTTATTCATGCAATCATCAGCCAATCATGTGGCAGATCCTGGTGAGGAGCTTCACTTAATGAAGAAAACTGTGATCTCAGTGACTTTGACTGACATGATTGTTGGTGTCAGACGCAGGTTTGAGTTTTTGTCAAACTGCTGATATCCTGGATTTTCACTCAAAACAGTCTCAAGAGTTTTTATTCAGAATGGAGCAACAACAAAAGCATTCAGTGAGCAGCAGCTATGTTGATGAGAGGTAAGAGAGAATGGACTGGTTGTAGCAGATAGAAAGGCTACAGTCACTCTAACCACTCTTTACAACTGTGCTGAGCACAAAAGCTTCAGAGTGAACAACACGTCCAACCTTGAGGTGGATGGACTACAACAGCAGAAGACCACGTCAGGTTCCACTTCCTGTCACCAAGAACAGAAACCTTAGGCTGCAGTGGACACAGACTACCCAACACTGGACAGTCAAAGACCTGGTCTGATAGATCTGGATTTCTGTTGAGGCAGCAGTTGGTAGAGTCAGAGTCTGAATTCATTCACCCAAACTGCCTTGTGTCAAGAGTCCAGGCTGGTGGTGGTGGTGTGATGGTGTGGGGAATGTTTTCTTCTTCATACCAATCAATCATGGTCTGAATTTCACAGCCTGAATATTGTTGCTGACCATGTTGTAGCAGACATACAGTACCTGGTCTGGCATCAGTCACAAGCTGTTAAAGAAGTTCATTGTAACAACATGCAGAGTTATGGCCCCAAAATTGACACTTTTTACTATTTCCACCATCAAACTATTGAATTGATAGGAAACAGAGACAAAGGACCCTTCGCTCTCACAAACAGACCAGTCAGAGAGATTCACAACCAGACCATGGGTCAAAGTCAGCTCCAGAGGATCAACAAATGGACTAGGCAAACTGGAGAGCATAGGCAAAATCTCCAGTTGTTAACAATACGACTTACTATTGATATGCGATTGTTTCTTATATAGTAGAAGTAACATCAAAAGGACTGATTATCACTAGGGTGTGATTCCTAAACTCCTGTTGCCCATGCATGGAACCACACACACACACACACACACACACACACACACACACACACACACACACACACACACACACACACACACACACACACACACACACACGTCTTTCCTCTTTGTCCCTCTTTAGATAAGCATCATAAACTACAACCCACATTCCAATCCTGAGTAGTGACCAGCACAACATTCTTCACCGACAGATCTGAAGAAGAATATAAAATTAAATATATAACTATTCTGTAACCTATGTGATGGTTCTATGTAATAAGTCAATTCCCAGTCTGTCTAGAATGGCTGAAATACAACATATAGATTTCAAGACAATATACAGTGGGTACGGAAAGTATTCAGACCCCTTTAAATTTTTCACTCTTTGTTTCATTGCAGCCATTTGCTAAAATCGAAAAAGTTCATTTTTTTTCTCATTAATGTACACTCAGCAACCCATCTTGACAGAAAAAAACAGAAATGTAGAACTTTTTGCAAATTTATTAAAAAAGAAAAACTGAAATATCACATGGTCATAAGTATTCAGACCCTCTGCTGTGACACTCATATTTAACTCACATGCTGTCCATTTCTTCTGATCCTCCTTCAGATGGTTCTACTCCTTCGTTGGAGTCCAGCTGTGTTTAATTAAACTGATTGGACTTGATTAGGAAAGGCACACACCTGTCTATATAAGAACTTACAGCTCACAGTGCATGTCAGAGCAAATGAGAATCATGAGGTCGAAGGAACTGCCCAAGGAGCTCAGAGACAGAATTGTGGCAAGGCACAGATCTGGCCAAGGTTACAAAAGAATTTCTGCAGCACTCAAGGTTCCTAAGAGCACAGTGGCCTCCATAATCCTTAAATGGAAGAAGTTTGGGACGACCAGAACTCTTCCTAGACCTGGCCGTCCAGCCAAACTGAGCAATCGTGGGAGAAGAGCCTTGGTGAGAGAGGTAAAGAAGAACCCAAAGATCACTGTGGCTGAGCTCCAGAGATGCAGTAGGGAGATGGGAGAAAGTTCCACAAAGTCAACTATCACTGCAGCCCTCCACCAGTCGGGGCTTTATGGCAGAGTGGCCCGACGGAAGCCTCTCCTCAGTGCAAGACATATGAAAGCCCGCATAGAGTTTGCCAAAAAACACATGAAGGACTCCCAGACTATGAGAAATAAGATTCTCTGGTCTGATGAGACCAAGATTGAACTTTTTGGCGTTAATTCTAAGCGGTATGTGTGGAGAAAACCACGCACTGCTCATCACCTGCCCAATACAATCCCAACAGTGAAACATGGTGGTGGCAGCATCATGCTATGGGGGTGTTTTTCAGCTGCAGGGACAGGACAACTGGTTGCAATTGAAGGAAAGATGAATGCGGCCAAGTACAGAGATATCCTGGAAGAAAACCTCTTCCAGAGTGCTCAGGACCTCAGACTGGGCCGAAGGTTCACCTTCCAACAAGGCAATGACCCTAAGCACACAGCTAAAATAACAAAGGAGTGGCTTTGGAACAACTCTGTGACCATTCATGACTGGCCCAGCCAGAGCCCTGACCTAAACCCAATTGAGCATCTCTGGAGAGACCTGAAAATGGCTGTGCACCAACGTTCACCATCCAACCTGACAGAACTGGAGAGGATCTGCAAGGAAGAATGGCAGAGGATCCCAAAATCCAGGTGTGAAAAACTTGTTGCATCATTCCCAAGAAGACTCATGGCTGTACTAGCTCAAAAGGGTGCTTCTACTCAATACTGAGCAAAGGGTCTGAATACTTATGACCATGTGACATTTCAGTTTTTCTTTTTTAATAAATTTGCAAAAATTTCTTCATTTCTGTTTTTTTCCTTTCAAGATGGGGTGCTGAGTGTAAATTAATGAGAAATAAAATCAACTTTTTTGATTTTAGCAAATGGCTGCAATGAAACAAAGAGTGAAAAATTTAAAGGGGTCTGAATACTTTCCGTACCCACTGTAATTAATATGACCAGTGTTGTAAATTTTTACTAAAATATACTATGCATTATAAATATGCTGAATGTTAAACTTATATAATCCAATGAAATGATTGCTGAAGTAGGACTGTTATAGAATGGAACCTGGAGGGAAAAAAATGGTCTGAAGGGACCAGGGAGCAATGGTGTTGGAGTGGCAGCCGTAGTGAGGCCCAGGTTGAGGATAGATAGGAGCCTTAGGTTTAGGATAGACCAACTTAGGTTGGGGATAGACAGGAGGTTTCTGGACACCTGGCACTACTACTATGTCCTGGCATGCTTGGTTTGGGGAAATTCCACACAGGGCTAGACACCATTGTTCCCAAGGGGTTGATAGGTTTGCTTTAGAAAACAGGTGGAGAAACCACCTAAGAAGGAACTATATATGATAATGCACAGGCACTCTGTCTTCAGTTCAGATCCGGATCTGATCTCGCTTTTGTTCTTGTGGAAGAATAAATTCTATTACATCGGACTCTGACCATCTCCAGTGACTTCTTTTTTGAATCTTTTTTGACTCCACTAAAAGTGCAGTTTTGTAGAAATTTAAGTGTTGGTGAAGAGTTATAGACTTAGACTCTGGCCCGGACCTGGACCTTTTTCCCTCCCAACATAAATTGGCGAGCCAGCCAGGAGAGACAGAAGCCTGAGGACCCCTGCCTGGGAGGATCAGCTTGCATCTCACTTTTTCCATCACACACTGAGGAAAACGTAATTAATGTTGGTTAATTCATTTTTATACATTTCTACATTGTCCTCCCCGACAGACGCACTGATGTCACACTGTAAAAGACAGAAGTAATAAGGCATGACAATCAGTTATAAATACTCATATTTTGAACAATGCAAAAGATTAGAAAGTAAACACAAACAATTTGAGCTCTGGATGATTTCTGTTGTGAGTCTGTTTCCAAACACATTAACAATGAAACAGTCCAACTCTTCAACTCATTAAACTCACTGTCAGTTGTTGCTGTAATCACAGTCTTCACTACATTTGCCCTTGCTGATTTAAAACAGATAGTTTCACTAACCTGGGAGCCTCCTCCACCACCTTCTGGTTCCTCCTTTGGATAGAGCACTCCCTCTCATTCAACCACAGAGCATTACCATGTTTATCAGCCAGCACCTACAAGAAGCAGAAGCTGAACAACTGATGTTCACATTTACACATGGCTTCAGTCAAATCAGGTGTAAAAACTATAGACTATAACAAGTTCACTGGAAATCTGTCAGTAAAAATAAAACCTAAGGCTCACACCACTGAAAACACTTAATATCATATTCACATAAAAGTTCTATACTATACGTGTGACTGTGTGTGTGTCTCATACCTGTATCTCTATGTGTCTGGGGTTGTCGATGTACTTCTCAATGAGCAGCCTGTCATCTCCAAAGCTGGAAGCTGCCTCCTGGGACGAGAACCGGAAACCTTCCCTGTGATAAAACAAACAAACAAACAAACAAACACACACACACACACACACACACACACACACACACACACACACACACACACACACACACACACACCTTTATGGAAAAAGCATGTTAGACCAAGTGAAGTGATTTATACAGTTAATGACCTCCCTGGAGGTGCAGTGTTCTGTTCATCTTGTTAGGCTAATAGACCTATGTCTATAAGCATACATAAATATACATATTTGAATGCGCTACAAGATAAATGTCAATATATAAAATTATTCCAATTTCTAATAGGTTTCAGGAATAAATTTTACACATGGAAATTCAATATATGTACATATATTACATTTACGTAGGGTAATACTCCTCAGTCAGAGGGAACAGGCTGACGCTCTCCAGACCAATTCAGGGTTCTATAGTCAACCCCACAGACGGTCACAGTCCAATTAGGGGTGGGCGATATGACGATATTAGATCGTGAAGGATTTCAACGTGAAGACGATCTTTCAAACTGCAGAGATCGTAGGATCGTCTAGGGCAAATTCTATAAATTGCAGTTCTATGTTGATGCACCGACGCACCAGACGTATTGACGTCGTCAACCTGACCGACCAATCATAGCGAATTACAGGCAGTGACGCGCTTTCCTACCCGCCTCCTTGTTTGTGTGTGTGGCGGTAGCACATGGAGAGCGATGGCTGAAAGCCAAACGGAGTTGGTCGCTAAGAAAAATTCCACCTCCATTATATGGAATTGGTTTGATTTTCCGCAACTGATCAAGCGCAAGCAAATGTAATTTGCAAAGTTTGCACAGAAACCGTTCGCACGTCGGGTGGTAACACGACGAACCAGAATGTTATTGTTGTTTACCTTAAACTTTACGTTGTTTGCACATGCAGGCAAAACTGCGACTATTTGAAATAAAATCTGTTAAGAAAGGTTATTTGGTCTAAATTGTCTGTTTTTCTTTTTCCAATTTAAGATCGTGATAAATTCGAAATCGTGATTTTATTTTTAAAAAATCGTGATATGATATTTTTGCCATATCGCCCACCCCTAAGTCCAATATGATTCAGAGTATAAATAATGAAAGAGTGTGTTTGCGTTTTAAGACAAATGTCTATGACATTGGCCAATTAAATCAAATTTAGTATTTATCCACTTAAATTAATAAATGCACCTTTTGCAAGTGAGGTAAAATAACACTACATAGTTAAAACAAGCAGTAACTCCATTCAGCCACCAGAGGGCATTAAGGATACTTATATAAGAGGCCACTCCACTCCATTTGAACAATATGGTCTGACTGAATTAAAGCTGGACTGTTAACATGTTAAAAACAAAGATTGACAACAGTAAGACAATATTCTGTTGCCTGAGCCTCTCAGATGTGAACAGGAGGGTTAGGGTTAGCATCCATACTCAGCAGTACCATGCTGCTACATACTCACTACTACTCTGATTGGGACTGATTGATGCACTGAAGCAGCTGAATAACAACAAATGAAGAAAGGAAAACTGCATTTAAGGAAATGTAGTTCTTCACAATGATACACAGTCTGTGGATGCAGAGGACTCAGTTCTTGGACTATGGAAGACTCCCTACAGGGAGTCTTCCATAGTTGTAGACAGAACTACATTAAATTGTTGGATTAGCAGCAGTGATGTTATTCTGAAGGTATTTAAGACAAAGTCCAGCTGCAGCAGAAGTGATTGTATTTACATCAGAAGGTTTTACAGTAGAACCTCAGGGTCAGAAGTCAAAATCATTTAAGTAGAAACAGAATACTTTGGGTTTCAGCCGTCTGATTGATGTATATTGTTTTCATGAATAACAATGTTATCAAAGAGAAGATGAGATAATAAATGTGACAGAAACAGGTACAATACCTTGTCTCCTCATCATTCCAAGCTATCCTCATTCCTTTCCCTCCTCCTCCTGCAGATGCTTTAATCATCACAGGGTAGCCTAGCAACAACACAAAGATAACACCACATGTGTAAACATGCCTTGGTTTGACTACACAAATCTGACCACAAGTACACCCAGTAGGAGACATGAGACATGTCCACTGACAGTCAACTAAAATATACTAAACACAAGTGTCAGAGAGCATCAGTGCCTGCACACACAGCTGTGTACACAGACACACACCTTTACACCTGTAAGAGACATTGATGCCACAGAGAACATTTACACCTGTGTGTTACACTTGTGGATTGATTTCTAAACCTGTTCTTTGTGACAGAGTTATTGGAAACAAACTTCTGTCACAAAACAAAAACAGATACCTTTGGTCTGTTGATTCTGCTTCAGTTTAAAAGGTCTTATAAAAGGTAGAGAGATCCCTGGTGATTATTGATCATGTTGATTAAATGTTGGTGACATTCTTATGTAAACAAACACACATGCAAACACAACAGACAAAAATGATTAAGGTAATTTTTATATATTGTACAATGAGTATATAACGTGAACATGGTGTGATAAAGTAGTTCAACAAGCTCTACCTCCAGCAGCTACAACAGTAACGTGCTGCTGACACACTGATTAATTATGTCTTCTATAATGATATATACTTTAACTTTAATACTTTATCTATATTTTGACATGGCATGGCAGTAAAAGTTTATTGGTTTACACAAATTAGTCTCTCTTGATTGAAACTCGGTTGGACCAATTCCACCAGAAGCAGAGACGAGCCACCAAACTCCAGACAGAAGGGGTCAGGACAGAGGGTCACTCAATTCTGTCCCACTCCGTAACGGAATGTTCACCATCAGTGTGTAGAGGAGTAATGACTTACCTATGTCCTGAGCAATCTTCACAGCTTCCTCAGCAGTCTGACACAGAGAAAGGGAATGGTTACTAAACTGTGTAGGAACTATTTCTTCCATGAACTACACCTGCAGCTAAAAGTGAATGTACTATGACTGAACATGTGTGAAGAACTGGCCTGTGACCATAGTGTCAGTCAGACTGCTCTCTGTGGTCTCTACTATGAAGTAGTTTTGTGTCTTTGTGTACAGTTGTTTGACTCGATCCAGTATACTGGACCTGGATCAACACAGGCGTGAGATGTGGAAACTCAGTTGTCTACCGTCCATTGTACTGCTGTGGATCTGTGTGGGTTTAACTTTTGTATGATTATATATGTAACGGTAAGGATACTCTTGGTATTGTTTATTATAGTTTTCATAAATAAACAATAACATCAATTCAAACATCCTGTGAACACAGAAGAACAGATCATAAACAAAATTTCATCTCATTTCTCTGCTTCATATGTGCTGTGTGTGTGTGTGTGTGTGTGTGTGTGTGTGTGTGTGTGTGTGTGTGTGTGTGTGGGTGTGTGTGTGTGTGTGTCCATACCTTGACAACTCCATCAAATCCTGGGATAGTGTTGACCTTAGCGGCCTTAGCAATTAGCTTGCTCTCTATTTTATCTCCCATTGCCTGGATAGCATGCGTGTCTGGGCCAATGAATGTCACACCCTCTGCTGACTAGGAACAAAACAATGATAAAACCATGAGATTGAGATTTCATATCAGACTTATAAGAACATGCATACAGAGTACAAAGAGTTGAGATCCCGCCCCACTGCCAGGTTCACTCCACTCACCTCACACAGTGTGTCTGCATTCCTTATTTCCATCATCTACTATTTATATCATTCACTATTTTGATCATCTACTATTTCTGTCATTCACCTTCCTAGAAAGATTGTTTTAACTGCTATTTTAACAATATAATAATTCAGTTATGTGGAACACAATAACCTTGCAACTGCGTCTCATGGCCAACCCTGAGTTTTCACTCATACTGCCATTAAGGTCCAGAATAAACTCCCATACTCAACTGCTGTGAAAGTGAATCCTTTGGAATCATTTGCATTGATGTAGGACTTTTTCGTAAATATGGATAGAATCAAACATTTTGAATTTGCAAAATATTCCTCACAAAAAAAAGCACAGAGCTGAAAGGGTTAAAAAGTCATCTATATAATATTATTACTGATGCCGACTATTCATTGCTGGTGGAGTGGAGATGTGCAAACCATAGCAGCAGTTCAGCAGGCAGTTGTCATGCACAGGTGAGGTGATCAGTGTGGCTCTAGTTATAGCTGCTCTGCCTTTAGCTTCTTGAAGTTGGACGTGTTCAGTGGTTGATGGAGTTTAAGAGTCTGATGAAGTTTGAGAATGTTTCCTGGTTCTTCCTCCTTTACTTTGGCCTCAGAGGTTTTACACTTTAGCTTTGATTCTTCTTCTCTCACGGTAAAGAATGTTCATGCTGATGACATGTTGTGTGTAGCTGTGTCTGAGCTGTGTTACTCACCAGTCGCTTTGCAAACTCTTTGTTTTCAGAGAGAAACCCATAGCCAGGATGAACCTTCATAGAGGAGAAAAAAACAAAACTTAATTTGATGTGTTTCAAACAGGAGTAGCTGTAACACCTGTAGCTCTGAGATCATAACTCTGGATGTTTTCTAGAAATATTTGACAGCACCATCTCCTCTCTCTGATGAATGGTTCTGCAGAGAGAATGCAGTTTAAACATGAACGCAGATGGTGACACATTAAAGGAAAAACCTGAATACATGAGTGGAGAAATATAATAAATCCAGACATTTCCACACAGCTGCACTGCATGTACAATAATGTTCCATCATCCTCTGGGGCTAGTATATGAATACTGATAAGGTCCAGTTGATTCTGATTTTGTATCAAGAGGAAAAGATCTGAGTGAGAGGGTCCATTGTTGAAGCTTCAGTCACAGAGATGCTCAATCTGTGTTTCCATAGTAACAGAGACTGAAGTGACTGTCGAGTGTATTTAGACCTGTGGGAAAGACTCAGTAAACTGGGTCAATATGTGACATGTAAGAAGAACAGAGGAACAGCAGTCACCTCAGGTGACTGAGGATGTGATCAGTCACAACATGAGTTGTCCACAGTTACATACATACAGAGGGATGTTATAGTAGAGCTGCAGTGATAAACCCTCAAAATCCACATTTGACAGTTCAGGTGCAGAGACCAGAGACTTAGGTCTACAGAGATGTGGATCAGTGATGTGGTCAGATGAGTTGTCCTTCACCATGTTCTCAACAGGTGAGAGAGACTTGGAGAATCTGTGATGAGGAGCAGTGAAGCTATTCTGTAGACACGTGGAGGAACAACACGTGAGTACGACTGTCTCCCTTAATCTGTCACTGTCTGTGTATTAATACTTACAGCTTGTGCTCCAGTTGCTCTGATGGCATCCATGATGGCATCCATGTTCAGGTAGCTCTTACTGGTGGGGGCGGGGCCAACACACACTGCCTCATCAGCCATCTTTGCATGGACCTACATACACACATACACCAGGAAGTTAAGTCCAGTCTGTGTTACATTTGCATTAGATAATGGAATTCTAGTAGTAACATGAAACACTCCTCACTCCATGCTCCACCTGTTGAGCCCTGCTCTGCTACCTGGTCTGGGGGACCTGCATGCCTGGTATACACTCACCAGGAAAAGAACCAGGTATAGCTGAGAGGTTGATGCACTGATGTCACTGTGGTATCAGCATTTCAGGGTTGGGGTTAGTGACGGTGTGGCAGCATCGGTGAGGTTTAGACCAGGTGTTTTTGTTTAAGCAGTTTTCAGCACATAAACTAAAATACCCTCTGTCCCTCTCTTACTTCTCCAGGTATAAAAGGAGAAGATGTTTCCTGGGAGACACGGATCAGTTTCAACAGTTTATGAATACAGATGGTGACTCACAGCACTGGAGTCCACATCACTGTGAACAGCTACAGTCTGGATGCCCATCTTCTTACACGTCTTGATCACCTGACGGAGAAACGTGACATTAACTCTGCAGTCAGTGATAATTACTGCACTGTGAATAGCTTAGATGCTGGAGGCTGTGTTATGATTTAAATGTACTGTTAATAAAAATAAATATGGGTGAAGTTAGTGTCAGTAATGATAATGAGGTGGTGTGAGGTGAAGCTGCAGGTATGAGTTTAATTTACACTACATATCTTACTCTGCAAGCAATCTCTCCTCTGTTGGCAATGAGGATCTTATCAAAGGCCTGTAGAGGGAAACAGAAACAGATTAGCAGGTTTATCACTGACACAACAAGGATGTTCTTTACTCTGAGAAGAATAACAGATCAGTTTCAACAATATGGGTAAACTCAGGAGAAGGAATTTTATATCAGACATCACACTCCATTAAAGTCAAACATGAATCACATCTTTTTCTGTAATGATTTTCTTCAGTGTGAACATCAGTGGTTTCAGAGGGAGAGCTGTGTTTACCTTTTCACTGGGGTTGTAGATGGTGGAGTATTGAACGCTGCTGTGCACTGCACAACATCTGGGATGGAGTGAGGCATACTGCAAGCAAACACAAACACAAACACACACACACACACTGTATCAAGCAGCTGTATAATTTCCTTTGGTTATTATTATACTGCTGTCAGTGGTCTTTGAGGGTCCAGGATAAGTTCAGATTTAACTGATTCTGATTATCACCGCCTGTTTTCATTTCAAATCAAACAACCTTTATGATCAGCAGGTTCACACTGACATGAGTTTATTGGTTAATTATAAAATAAATAATCATAGTCTCAGTATGTGGTCTTTGTTGTTGTTGGGGAATTCAACAACCATCATAAATGGACATCACATTATTTAAACTGTGTGTTGTGCAGCTCATTCATCAATTTAATGACAACAGACTGCAGCTGTATGATGCACTGCACAATTAAGTATGATGACTTCACTGGTAGTCATTATTAATTTAACAGCAGAACAGTGGTTTCACATGTTTCACCAGTTACTACAAACGAAACCTCAGAACAATCACTTTAGATAGAGAGGATAATCTGTTCAGTGTTTTGTATTTATTTTTAATCAATATGAAAATCTATTAGCAGATTATCGGCACGTCCTCCAGGTGTGTACTTAGATGTGCTCATCAAAGAGAGCATCACTTAAGCAACATAAAAACTGTTGATTAATTGATTTTCAAACCAATCAGAACTAAATGGAAACCAGTGGCTACCTGGACCAGCATCAAAAAATAAAATCTCACATATACATGTGTGATAAGAGGCGGTCTGAGAAGACTGCACCACAGATCAGTGTGCAGCTGTGATGAAGACAGACACACATCATATGGTGCAAAACCCTCAAGGAAATAATCAACTTTTATTCAAACAGAAGCAAATGACAACAACAAGCAGTTTTCAAACCATTGTAGTCTCCTCATTCATTCAGAATATAGAGGAGTAACATACAGAAACAGCCTGTCTTGGAGCAATCAGCCTCAGTGTCAGGATGAACCAGGTGACCACTGAATTGTCCAGTGTTAGGACCCTCAGTCAACACAGTGACGTGTCTCCATGAACACGTGACAGTAAGCTGACGCTGTCTACATAGAAAACAGATAGAACTGTTACTGCCTCAGCTTCTTTTGTTGTTCTTCAACATACTGCTGCGTCATGTGTCAAATCTCACTGACATGAACATCGATTTCACTTCTGAAACTGATGTGAAGGTGCTGTAGAGAAATCAGAGTTGTCATGAAGACCTGAGACCAGATAACCATCAGGTCCAAGCAGGAAACAGGGGTCCCAAACCCTCTGGCCCTGTGTCATAATCTACATGGTACGTTCTCCCGATTGTGTGGTTTTTTTTTTTTTTTTTTACCAATGTACCACAAAAGGGTGGCCACTAGTGGCCCACAGATCAATTTTTCTAAGCCCACCAGTGGACTAATGTGGACAAGCAAGCAAGTCCTGAGTCTGGTCCTCAGTGACCCAGTGATGTTTTCTAAAGCCAAGATAAACACAGTAACTTTAAACAGGATTTAGTGAATCCATGGAGGATCATATGGTGGCCCTAAGAGATCAACGCACTGCAATTTAAGAAAACATGCGAATGCCCTGCATTCGGTAAAAATCTTCATCAATTTGACAACACATGCGCTGAAAACAATTACAACACATGAAAATAAACAAATGTTTTTCAAACAAAGGTGTTTCCACGCCTTTGTCGGCTGGAAACACTTTCGTTATGTTGTAGGAATGAATTTGCAGAGCGTTTGTGTATTTGCATCCGTTTTCTTAAGTTGCAGTGCGTTGAGCTCTCGGGGCCACAAGTAGACATTAACCAGATATTATACAGATTAACCAATATCTCTGTGTGGAGGACAGTTTAATCAAAGCTACACCTGAGATGACGTCAACGCACACCTCACTCACGCTCTCTGGCCAAGGAAAGACACGCGCTGATATTAGCAGGTCAGATTTTAGACATCAATCTGTAACCAGGTGTTTTTCTCTGCTCGTGTCCTACAAGGAGACCCCGTATCCGTCTGCACCGTTCTGCTCGTCTGTACCGGCAGGGACAATATACTCGTGCTGTTTAATTGGTATCTGAAGGATACCTAGCTCTCTGCAGAGTCTATGCTCGGCTCACCTTTACCGCGAACAGCAGTCTGGTCAGAGACGGAGAGAGACTGTGCGACGCCATGTTGCCCCACTGTGACGGTCAAACACCACGACGTGATGACGTTTAGTTTTACGGAGACCTGAGTGGTGAAGAAAGAGGCGTCAACTCAATTTGTTTTTTTCCTCTCAACTTTATTGAAAAGCTCTATTCATCACATTTACAAAACATTAAAAACTGAAGTGCCGTTTGAAATCTTCTGTAGAAGAAAACGTGAAAACATGTTATTACACAGTCAAGAGGATTCACTGAGTTAACGAGCAGTGTGTATAGATCATATGTCTTTAAGAACCAGGTCCAAAGATACACTGTACAGGTCCTGGAATCCTGCTTAAGCTTGCGTCCGACTTAAGGTGCGTGAGTCTGACTTCGGCTGACTGCGCCTGTTTACATTAGACTTTTGACACATTAAATTAAATCTTAGTAATGTTTTCTGAAAACATGGAGGGTGATGGGTTAATTTGTGTGGAGGGAGAGGTCATACATGGAATTCCTGCTAGAGCAACTCTTCAATTTAATTTCTTTCTCTTTTTATTGAGAACCATATACTTGAGGATAAAAAACAAGGGCCACCATGTTGTCAGGAGGTGAAAAGAGAAGACATGTAAAGAATAAAAAATATGACGTATAAGATCATTTCTTCTTTTACAGTAACAAATTCTGATCTAAACTGGTTTACAGCTTTCTTCTGGAAATGAAAACTGTTGTGTTGGTGTCCATATGTAAAAAAAAAAAAGCCTTCAGAAAGAGATCAAATAAATAGCTTCCCCTTTGATAGAGATAACCATAGAAGAGCAGGGGTGGACAGTAACTAAGTACATTTACTTGAGTCCTGTACTTGTGTATATTTTTGGGGTATTTTTACATGAGTAATATTCTTGTTGGAAACTCTTCACTTTTACTCCACTACGCTTAAAAGACAAATAGGCCTATTGTAAGCTACTATTGGCTCCACATTAGTATGAAGTACTCTTACTTTGAAGCGGCTTTTAGTCGGTTGAATGAACTTTCTACTATTAAAGAAAATGTGATAGACCATACACTGTGTTCATCACAGGAGAAAAAACAATCACGGCCAACTCTTCCATTGTCAGTCATGTTTGAACCTGTCAGTGTCCTAACCATGGCGATGTTAGATAAAGACGAGGCAGATTTTTCACCAGAGACCATGGTCTGATCTGAAGTCCACGTTTGAAGGTTTAAAGAAAGATTAATTTAGTTTGAAATGTTTGCTTTGTTTACCACAACCAGACGTCATCACTGACAAAAAAAACGAAAACAATGGCTCCTTTTGTTGATTCAGTTGTTTTTATGTCCATATCTACAGTCTTTGTATCATATTCTACAAGCTTTTATTCTCCAGATTCTACAGTCAGTTCAGTCAGTAGGTAAATTAAGAGTCATTGGGTTCTTTAAATGTGGGACAATACAACAATATGTTGACATAAATTTTTTTACTTTTGAACACTCAAGTATTTTAAAATCAAGTACTCCAGTACTTCAACTGCAGTAAAAACTTAACTGAACAAATTACCCTTGTACTGGAGTCCTATTTGACTAGGAGGATCTACATTCTGACTCAAGTAATGGGGCTGTGTACTTTGTCCCCCGCTGTAAAAGAGGATCTGAAATTCTTGGCATAAAACGTAGAACACGTGTGTCAGCGAAACCTTCAGCCAATTAGGATAAAGTGACCTCGTCACAGAGATGGTTCCCAGTCATGTGACATGGTGATGCTCCGCAGCGCCGGCGAAAGTCGAACGCAGCTTTTATGTGGCGCTGCACAGTGCCGACTTGACGTGATGCATGCTGTACTTAACACATTGCATGCTAGTTGAATTTTTATTTTATTTTCATTTCTTTATTTCAAACATTCCACATAAATAACAGGACAAATTACAAAACAATTCAAAACACTCAAAACAAATAATTAAAAGTAGCTACGTAGGTTTTGATAACAAGAAAATAAAGGCACTAGTAGTATGTTAAATTAAATTAAATGAAACAATAAAGTAAATAAATAAACAAATGAAAAATGCCAGGGTAAAGATAAATAAATAGAAAAAGACTTAAATGAAAACATTAAAAGGTATTGTTATTAATATACAATTTAATTTCTTTGTTGAAAACATGAAAGTGAGGTTTTATTTTGGCAAATTTACATTTATGCATGTAAAACGTTGCAAAAAATATAATGAGATTGATAAGAATCGTTCTGTATTGATCTTTAAGAAACCAAAAAATTAATTTTCCAATAGAATCTAAAGCTACAAGTAATATTGTCCAGGATAAACCTATATCTTGCCACAGTTTACAGGTATGTATACACTTCCAGAACAGCTGGACAAACAGTCCCAGTATGACAACCACAGAAGGCACAGCTTATGTCAATATCATTTCTGTATTTAACAAAAAGAGATCTCACTGGATAACATTGGTGAATGATTTTAAATGAAACCTCCTTCACCCTATTGACCAAAAATGATTTTCATGGGTGTCCCCAAACGTTTTTCCAGCATAAATTCTTTACACAACTGTTCCAAAAAGCTTTACTAGTTGAATCAGAAACGATATCACACTGAAATAAAGCATGGATTTGGTGACTGTTCTTACGAACAGATTGGCTAAAGCACACTTTTCCAATTGGTGAGACAGCTATATCAGTACAAGGAACATCAAGAGCAGAAACTGATGTACAAGCCTTAAATATACACCAGATGGAATAGCAAGACAATGTTATTATTAAAGCAATCCTTGAAAAATAGAGTTGTGTTTTTTTTTTTTTTTTAAGTATATCTCTATTATTCCATATATAGTAGTGGTGCTGTGAAAAATTATACATATATATATATATATATATATATATAAATAATAGACCATGCAAGCAGCACTTGTTTGTTGAAGTTAGAAAGGCAAACAGGAAGTTTTTCAATGTTGCCCACCAATAGAAATGTTAAACCACCAATTTCAGAAAATATATGATTGTCAAAACAATTCCATATTGAGTTTCATTTTTTTAAAGAATTTCTTGACCCAATTAATCTTAAAAAAAGGTGTTGTTCAAGGTATTGAAGTCCAGAAAATTGAAACCCCTGCTCTCATATGATGGCTGATTTTTGCATTTTATTTCTCCATAAAAATTTGAAAAGTAGCCGGTCTATGTCTTTGCCTGTCACAGCCAGAGACGTGACATGACCCCCCCCCCAACGGGTGCCTTCAGGTGCCCCAGGATTGTCCGGATGCTCCCGATGAGAGTCCCAAGTGAGGGAGGCATCCAGAATGAAGCTGCGCAGGACCCACGAGCATTCCTCTGGGTCATAGCCCTACAATCCACCAAGAACCGGAACCCCTGGCCCGAGTGGCGGACGTCAAAAATCCGCCGAACAGTGAAGGCAGGGTGATCGTCGATGATACAGGTGAGTTGGAGGGGGATCAGCTGGAGGGAACAAGGGGCTGGAAGAGACAGACTTAAGCAGTGACATATGGAAGGTTGGTTGGATATTCAGAGAAGAAGGCAGCTTTAACTTTACAACAGTGGGATTAATGATCTTGTCCACTGGTGAAGGCAGGGGCAAGCGGGTGGGCAGGCAGGCAGATGCGCAGGATGGAATGGCTGGGGGAATGAGCTGAGGCAGCGTCAGTCAATGGTTTGACAAGATGCTGGTACTGGAATCCTGGGGCACAGGGGAAAACGAAAGCAAAAGCACAACGGGAAAAAAACAAGTTTCTCTTGCCACTAAAAGTCACTAAACTGAATGGCTGAGAGTTCACCACTGAACAGGCAGAACTACCTGGTGATGAGCGGCAGGAGAGCCAGGGTTCCTATACTGCTGGGTAGATGACATGATTGCAGGCAGGTGTGGAGGTGAACCAGGTGCCAGATGAGGTAGGCGCACCCACGACAAACACACATAGACATACAGGAGGAGGGAAGGAGACACATAGGAAAAAAGAGAACACAGGAAAAAATGGAGTCACAGCCAGAGCCGTGACACCCTTAGCTTTAAGCCTGTACATAATGTTACGTTCCCTGTGAGAGTCCAGGGGTTGGGGAAAGCTAAATGAAATAGTAAAGCTGGCCAAACAGAACAGATATAGGGAAACAGATTCAGCAAATAATAAATCTACTCATTGTGTGAAGTATTCACAACACCTCAGACCTCCGTGTCTCACTTGACACCATGCTCCTTGATGACAACGTCTGTTGAGCAGTCACTAATGAGTTGGAAGTGGAAGTGCTAAATGCTGGCATTCGCATACTGGTCGTTTCACATGCAGCGTAGCGCCTGTCCTTGTCAGATTTGATGTGGGATTCAACTGCTTTTATCCCCATGGTCCCTAAATTGAAAACCATTTTCAGGTAATTTATCTCCTTTCTCATTTTCTCCTTTTTCTCCATAGGACATTGATAGGCGCACTGCTTCATCAGAACTGCATCGATGTCATGTTGCAACACCCTAGTTCGAATGAAAATACAGTCTGATAAAATGTGTATCCCCCTGCAACTTTGGCAAAGTAAGAAGAACCTTTACAATATTAACCTCAATTACTCTTTATCGTTTGAAGTATATACAAAATAAAACACTTGATGATTGGACATAACATGTTTAGTATAGAGATGTGTATTACAAATTTTGAAATCATAACAACAATTATGACTGTAATCATCTGTTCCGAGGACAGGCGATCATTTATATTTATTTATCGTTTACCATGTACAATGCTGCTTTCAGTTTAATTTTCAATTCGAGTCCAGTGAACGTAACTAAGATGCATGTGTTGCCTCAAGGCATTTCTGTTATTCATTTGTAATGTGTGCTTTAAACAATTCATTTATATGTGATGTTGTTAAAAGGAATTACTGTTAAAAGGTTAAAAAGGTCTATTGAGAGGATTTTATTTTGAAGTTCAAGTCACTGATTAGTCACTTCCTTAAAGGTCACCTGTGTTGGTTCATTTCCTGTTTTTAGTCCTTTTCCTCTTGGACTGAGAGTGAGGCAGACATGCTAAGCGTGTGCTGGAGCTAAATGTAACCATCCACT